TTTATATATATATATATGTATCTATAGATAAGTAGTACTTAATAGTATTTATATATATATATCTATAGATAAGTAGTATTTAATAGTATTTATATATATATATTTATATATTATCTTTATAAATGGTAGACGTTCCAGCCATTGATGACACCGGGTCGGGTCACTGGGTCGGTTTTGCGCTCGCTCTGATCAGGCCGGAGACGTCCCTCTCGTCGCGATATCGAACTCACCTGAGGGCTCCGGAAAAAAAGTGATGGCATCGGCTGGAAAGAATCCTCAAAGGATCGATGTGGCTAGTCACCATGAATCCATGGATAATCGATGGATAGTCATTAGTCACAAGAAAAAACCATTATTAACCACTATTAACAACTACCGGTTGGTGGTTTGGAACCATGTATTTTTATGACTTTCCATCATATTGGGAATGTCATTATCCCAACTGACGAACTCCATCATTTTTCAGAGGGGTAGGTATACCACCAACCAGTTTAGTTCATAAGGAATGAATCAATAGTTAACCTGAAACATTCGATAGTTCATGTTTTTTCACTCACCGATGACCATGGAATCAATACAACTTTTTAACCGTCGCACAAATGAGGAAACTGCAAGTTGTAGCACTTACATGCACTTACGTTTTATTGGCCCTCCCAGGGAGAGTATTTTTTTTATATGAAGCTATCTTCCACAAAGCTTAGTATTTTTGTTCCTAGCTGCAAGATTCCTACTGGCTATTGGTCGTATCCCCTTTGATGTATGGGTTGATCTTGGATTAGGGCATGCCATGTATGCCTAGATTCATGTTTAGATCGGTGCTTTGAAAACAGGTTACCCTCTTCTGAACGAACTTCGATGCGGAAAACCTGGCATTTTTAGATGATGTTCATTGATTTTCCTAGGGAAACCATGGGTTTTCCATATCTTTTTGCATGTTTACCCCAGGGTGCCATGTGATTGCAATATGGGGATGGCCGGCTCTGGCAGGGTCGCCAAAAGAAGCGATTGTGTCAGGCAAGGTTCGGGGCACACAGGGCGTTTTGGGATGTTTTGGGGCCTAGTTCTGGAAGTTTTCTTATCCCATAGGATCCATGTATGGTATATATGCTAACATTTGGGGTATATTGATGGTAAATGTTACCATATATGGCATACATGGATCCTATGGGTATGGGAATGATTCATCATCCATCCTCCCAAAAAAAATAGTGTGTTTCAGTTGAGATCAAACGCATTCAACATTAATGTGCTAAACGGTCACCAACCCAATGGTCACCACATCCCAAAAGAAAACCGCTTCCGGTGATTGAAACCATCCCCAGTCATGGAGCCGGTTTACTACGGAGCCAGGTATGCACGCGGCTGCTTTAGGAGCGACGGCGAGGGATTTGGGACGTTGATTGATGTGGATATCAGATTATATTGATTTATATATATATATATTAATATATATTGTCTGGTTGGTGGTTTGGAACATTTTTTATTTTCCATAATATATGGGATAATCCTTCCCATTGACTAATATGTTTCAGATGGTTTGAAACCACCAACCAGATTATATTGATTTATATATATTGTATATGGCATTACAGTATATGTTGTTATATCATCAAAGACTATTGGGATTGAATGTGATTCTATCATCAGAACTATGAGGATGGTATGTAATATAATTAATGATCAAAGACTATTGCGACGGAATGAAACAACATATAGAAATATTTCAGCTGCTTTCGTTGTTTTTACAAATTGTGTGACGTGCTCTCCCTTTTTGGCCCCAAGTGATAACTCCAGTGGTTCATGTGAACACGCTCTGGCATTCCAGTGGGAAACGGAAGGAATCTGAGCCTGGAAAGTTTCAGTTTCAACGCAACAAACCATCATCAAACAATATCGAACAAGCAGAGTCAAGCAAGTTCCGGCTCCAAAACTGCAGTCCCACTTTTTTTTATCAACATCAAAATATATAAAATTCATTGAAAATCCTGAAATTTTGAGGTATCTTTGAGGTATCTTTGAGGGATCTCCAGACGATTTGCAAGACTTCAGCGTAGAATTTCCAGGACAACTGGGGCCCAACAAGCCTTGCCACACCGTGGCAGACGTAGGGCTTGATGCGTCTCTCGGCAGCCAACCTGCTTCGGCGGAACCATGTTTCGGATTTCTTGGGTTGGTATAGGTCGAACATGACCAAAATGATAGTATTAATATGATGTTTGTCTGAAAATATGGTATATTCCCAATTATAGCCATTTAGTAGGGATAATGATCCGACAAACCATTGGGTGTAGGGGTACGCTATTTTCAGACAAACTCATATGATGTTTATCCTTTTATTTGGATTATTCTGGATTAATTAATATGTCTTAAGATGTATTAATATGCACTAATTTTGATGAATATGTATGATATAATATGTCATTATCATCAGATGAGGCATGTGTTTTTTGCTGTAACATAGTATTTATACGATTTAATAACATCAGCCATGATTTGTTGAATCGTATTCATAGGATTTAGTCATATTAACCATCATCATCCACCATCCTGTTTGATTTAAACTGTTAGTATTGGGTCGAGAATGTCAAAGCTAAAACTAATATAAACTACTGGTTGGTGGTTTGGAACATTGCTTGTATTTTTCCATATATTGGGAATAATCATCCCAACTGACTAATATTTTTCAGATGGGTTGAAACCACCAACCAGACTAATATTTTGTGTTTTTGTTTGCATTTAAATAAATCCTCATATGTTTGGGGTGCCCAATTTCAACACATACCCACAGGAGCAGGGCCACCAATCTCCAAAATTGAGACGTGACCATTGAAAGTGCTTATCCCAAGTGAAAAAAATAACAACATGTAACGAATAATAGCAGAGGTGGAGCCACCATAGCAACAGTTGCTCATGGTTGTTGATTTGCAGATAAACCATGACCTGTGTATACAAAGTAAGAGTGAGGAGTTCCTATTGCCAATTTTTGACTAGCAGATGGTAATTGGGTGTGTTTCAAAACATCCAAAATATAACCCCCAAATCCCATTTCTATCCATTTCTTACCATTTCGTACCATGTACCATCTGGTTATTTAACATAGCCATGGAAAATCACCATATTTAATAGATAAACCATCTATAAATAGGCCATTTTCCATGGCTATGTTAAATAACCAGATGGTATATCATCATTTTCCAAGCTGATGGAGGCCTCAAATCGTTGTTTTTCCTTCCCGATTTCCATGTCAGATTCTTGGTGATCTCCCTGTTCTCAACGATCACTGGCCATCGATGTGGAAACGAGAACGATTGGAGCTAGCGATTCCATATAGTTTTAAGGCCTATTTTTTAGGGAATATCCCCAGAAAATATGGCCACAAGTATGGTACTAACGTACCTCCAATCAATCGGTTCCTGAAATGGCCATTGATATGATTCTTGCTTTGTCTTGCACTTTTGGACCCCAGGACAGAACCAGTGGAGATCGTTTTGTTGTCGGAAGATCGGTCGCAGCAGGACGCGAGTCTGGAGCGTGGGAGCATTTTTGGAGAAATTCTTGGGATAAACCCACCATGGAATGGTTGGTAGAAGGAGGGATACGGGGATCTTCAGATAAGCAATACATATAGATTATGCATATGTATTATATAATCATATATATATATAATAATAATAATAATACAGAAAAGGACGCTGTGCGCCCGTGCGTTTTGCACCGCTTTCCTTGCAGTGTTTTGCAGTGTTTTCCTCCTGCAGTGTTTTCACATCATCAAAGGGCCACAATAGGCTACAATATGCCCAAATATGCCAAAATAGGCCACAAAGGTCCAAATAAACAAAAAAAAAACAAAAAAAAAAAAAACAATTTCTAGAGACTGTAGGCATTGGGGGCATGTCTTTGTTTTTTCTTTTTTTTTTGTTTTGTTTTGTTTGTTTTTTTTGGTTTTTTCAGGCCCCAAGGGAAGGATGCAGAGAGTTGAGTCTTTTCATGCCCCAAGGGCAGGATGCAGAGAGTTGAGTCTTGTCATTTGTTTTTCTTCTTGCCAGTCAATGCATATGTCAAAACAGAGAATGTGTAAAGAGGAGTGCAAAAAGCGCACTCTCACAGTCCCCTGTTCTGAGAGCGGGGAACTGTGAGAGTGCGTTTTTTTCACTGATGTTGCATCAAGATATCATATATATGCCAACGATATTGCTGCAAGATCTCATCTATATGATATATATATATGCATACCTCAAAAATTTCATCCAGCTGGGTCACAAGAAACAAAACATATTGCACATGCACAGCGAGAAACTACATAACGCTATCAACGGTTCTATGTCATTTAGCCAGTGAGTATCAGAGAGAAAATTCAATTTTGCCCTGTTGCGCCATGCTCAAATGATAGGGTTTTGTTTGCTTCTATGTTGCAGGGTTTTTATAGCAAGCATGAACAAGAGGAAACAGCACTTTTGATTGACAGAAGATTTCATTTTGTCCCCAAGCAGTACTGCATCTTCCAGAGCTCCCTACATAAAGAGATATGGAATGTTTTGCCAGGGTAAGCATATTGTTCCTTTGAAAAATGTTGTGTTATTAAACCCTAGTACAGCATCAACTCAGATTCTAAGGGCCACAGCATGCTTCTCATAAGTCATCGTTGAAAATTTGAAAGAATGTGGCATTTCTTGAGGAAGTTGTGGCATGCCTCTATGCAACATTCTTCTATAGAGGGAGCAACATTCCTTTGAGAAAGTGTAAAGCAAGACCCTGAGATGTGCATAGCATTCCTTTAGAACAAGTGCGTTCTGTCTTCCATATATTTTAATGAACAAATGTAATTCCTTCCATAGAGGTAGTAGTCCTTTTAGAGAAGGGTAGCATTTCCTTAAGATAAAATATGCATATACATTAGTGTTTTTCAGAAAAGCGGCATTCCTTTCAGACAGTACTTGATGGTTTCATGAAATCTTGATTTAAACACCGGTGTTATGCCATATTACTTCCATAAATATTATTCATTTGGAAAATTTAATATGATTTTCAAATAGCATAATTCACTGTATGATATTATTAACTATATATATACAGTTACACACAATATTCCTTTCAAAAGTATGTAGCATCTCTTTGAGAAGTAGCCTTCAAGACACACAGCAGTCCTAGTGAAAGAATCTGGCTGAGTATGGTGTGATTTACAGTAAGTTGTTGTACAAAAGGGAGCCCTTTCATATATACAACAATCCCTTTCAAAGAGGGTGGTGTGTCTGTAAGAAAGCCATATTACTTGGAAAAAAATATTATTCTTTTGGAAAATTTAATATGATTTTCAAATAGCATAATTCACTGTATGATATTATTAACTATATATATATACAGTTACACACAATATTCCTTTCAAAAGTATGTAGCATCTCTTTGAGAAGTAGCCTTCAAGACACACAGCAGTCCTAGTGAAAGAATCTGGCTGAGTATGGTGTGATTTACAGTAAGTTGTTGTACAAAAGGGAACCCTTTCATATATACAACAATCCCTTTGAAAGAGGGTGATGTGTCTGTAATAAAGCGCAATGCATGGAATTGCCATTTGAAGAAGTATAGTGTTCCTTGCAGGAAATATAGCATTATTTTGAAAGGGTATTCTTCAATAAGCAAGTGCTCTTTCAGAGACAACAGTGCAGCATGCCTTTATGCAAGTTTCCTTGAGAAGGATGCAATATATTATATTTGTTCATTCCTTTGAAAAGAGGATGGTATTCCTTGCTCAGAAGAAAACTACACAAACAGAGCCACCACCTCCAGAAAATCGGAAATTAGGCCTTGCTGTTCAGGAAATTAAAAAAAATTGTTTCCACCCCAGCCAACCCAAAAAAACGAAATAATTTTGATTTTTACTTCAGAGAGGTCCCTCTTAAGAATCTAATTTTATTGTTGACGAAGGGTTCCTTCAAATCGTCATACGTCATATCTTCCGCTTCCAAAGGCATGACGGGCACACGCACCAAGTAGCTTAGAAGGATAGGGCACGAACTCCGGACTGGAGCATAAATATACATACATAATGTGACAAGTCATGCGATACAACCTGCAGCAATGAGAACAGGTCTTAAAACTCATTATATAGGGACTTTGTCAAAAATAGAGATTCATATGGAAATTACACGGGCGTGGGGCGTCCCCCTCTCTAATAATAATAATAACAATAATAATAATATTAATAATAATAATATTAATAATATCAATATATAATAATCATATTAATAATACTGATAGTAATGATAATAACTAAATAATGACTAGCAACAATTCATAATAATTATATATATATATTATACATACATAAGGGAGATGAACACCAAGAATTTCCATAGTTTCATGGGGATTCAAGCAATAAATACGTGGACTTGAATGGTACTGGTAGCTATTTGGTAGTCTTTTACTATAAACTCCGATTAATCAAACTTGGTTGGCTGGAAAATCACATAGAAACGATGCTTTTGTCCCCATCTAGAAACCTCCATTTGGTTCGGGAGATCTTTCCAGCTAGCCACGTTTGATGACACCGGAGGCACCTTTTATAGATGGGCATGTAAATGGGTATATCATCGATAAATGATGACATTTTCAGCACGCCATCTTTGATGACACCCAAGGGGGTATGTGATGTGATAAACTCAATAAGATGTACTTGGGTATTTCATATGCCATATGAAATACCCAAGTACATCTTATTGAGTTGATCATTTAATATGGTATAATGGGATATAAATTGGGTAATTCTCATCTATATTGATGTAATCAGCCCTGGCTCCCAGCATAAGGCTGGTCAGCCTTGGCGGTTTACCTCCCAGCCTTGGCGGATCCCAGCCTTGGTTTACCTTGGATCCCAGCGATCCCAGTGGCGGTTTATTTGCAGACATGGATGTTAGCTCGTGTGACCAGCTATTGCCCAGTGATACCAACCCTGGTGATATACATGTATATATATATATACTCAGGGTTTCCCATGCATAATTCTATAGTTTTAGGGGATCCGTCAAATAGGAACAAGTGGCGGAACTAGTTTATGTTAGGTAACTTTACCCAGGGATGACTGCCAATTGATTCCACCCCACCAGGATCTGAATGGTTTGGTCCATGTTCCAAGATTGCATGGTACAGGCTAAAATCATGCTATACCATGTTGTATCCATGTGCCTCCCATGTGATTTTGATTTAACAAATTAATTCAAATGGGATTTACACTGATTCAAATGGGATTAATTGATTAATACATATCAAAACTGAATTTAACTAGTAACTAGTAACTAGTACAACTTTACACCTAAACAAAAATTGAGTTGTCCAAATTTCGCCACAAAAAAGTCACAGTGTTTTTTTTGGTAAGCTTAGTTCTTCAAACATCAACCCAACTGAAATCATCGACAAAATCCATGGTTTATATAAACACCATGTGGATGGATCAAGACCTATGAAAGTCTTTAGGTATCTTTAGGTGGGTATATTCATTCATATACAGGTATACTATTTTTTTGTCTATGAAATACACCGACATGAAATACATTGACATAGCAATTTTAGGTGGACGCACAGATTAATGAACAGCTATTTGCTCCTATTTTGATATGTAGAACCACGGAGATATTCCCATGTTCTCCCCGCGCAGGCGGCGCAAATTTTGCAGCAACAGGGACGCAAGTCCAAACCCATTGCACAGCACCTCGGTATCTCCCATATCTAACAGAGGTGATTGATATAGTCCCATATTGGATGTGGATATATCTTAGGATTGATACATAATTATGGGGGATATTGGGGGTAGGATGACCCATATCTATCCATATCTAACAGAGTTTTTGACATGGTTATTATATGTTATTATGTATATTTATATAAATGCAATTGTTCTGTGGAACTGCACTCCCAAGTAGACCGTTGTGCTGACCTGTGATAGGATAAGACATGGGCGATGTCATTTTTCGAAGAAACGTCTAATTTGCCTTGCAATTATAGCAACCCCCAAGAAAGGTAGAACAGTCAAATCCGACTAGAATCGTTGTAATCTGGTAAATCCCATGTTTTTGCATCATAACTTGGGGTTTATAAATATAGTTCGACTGCGGATTCTTGATTACTTCACTGACTTCACCACAGGGACATGGTTCATGGTTCGGCTTCCCATGAGCCATCCATCTGGGAACAATGAAACATTGATCTATCGAAATGCTTCAGATCTTCAGAGTGGATCTAATCATTAGTACAAAATAGTACAAGCCATATCCAGTGTATATCATATATATATATGTATATGTGTATTTTTGATTATATATATATGTACACGCACACAAATACATACATGACATGACATGACATGACATGACATTAGATTACATTACAGTACATACATACGTACGTACCTACCTACCTACCTACCTACATACCTACCTACCTACCTACATACCTACCTACCTACCTACCTACCTACATACATACATACGTATACATATATAATAGTATGTTATTTAAGCAAATCATGTCAAACATTGACATTTCTACAAGGCTTAGTATCCCCTGTCCCTCAGCTCGTGCCCACGTGCCCAGGGCTCGGAAGGTGTTAAGCTGTGGCGAGAAGCCAACGGCGGAGCAAAGGCACCGCGGCGCGTTTTTTTTCGCGGCGGGCGGAGCAACGAATTAACGGGTGATGTGGGTGTGATACCCATCAGATTGATATTGGAATAGCTAATTTAATGGTGATATACCCAGTTTTCATGAAATATGATCTAATTAATATTAGTGTTATCCATGAATGAATGGTAATATAGGTATTGGAATAGCTAATTGAATGGTGATAGCCACAGATTAGATCAGATATGGATGTGTCTGAAAATGTGGAATACCTTATAAATATCAAGAATGATATGATTACTGTAAGCCCTTCCCCCTAATATTAAACACCTCGTACAGGGTTCCAAACAAGTGTAAACCCCCATCTAAAATCATGGTGGGTATGTATTGTATATCTACCCAGTGGGTAGGGAGCGATTTGGAGCCAAGGAGCTGCTGAGAGTTTCCCAACTATTATATGATACATATGGAATTGATTTATACATATATATATGATTATATAAATGTATATGGTACCGTATGTAGCTGTTGTTTTAATTACACATATGTATGTAAACATAAAGATGAATCCTAAAACCGCGATGAGAAAAACATGATTGGATAGCTCGTGTTCATATGGTCAACGTGTTTGATTCCACCTTTGGGGACGTAGAGACCAATGTCATTTCACTGTGTTACATTCTCGCTCTCATACAACCAGCATTGCTCCCAACAGTATTTCCGTTTTGGATCATTGATCCCGGAAATGGATCAAGTCACTATAGGGTACCACTGGATCCAGAAGCTTATTGAATCATCAATTCTTTGAGTGCCAGTGATTCTTGAGCCATCCATCACCTGAAAAATAAAAAAAAAATCACTCGGTGCCCAAAATCTGCATCCGAGCTGAGCTCGGTCATTCCAAGCCGCCAGCCTCCGGCCTCCGGCCTCCGGCCAGGGCAAGCCAGGGTCCTTCGGGCCCTTCACTCTCCGAGGCGACCCATGAGCGTCTTGAGGGTTGAACACCTGTAGCAATTTCTCTAAAACTTGGGGCACCTAAAAAGACACCCTTGTGGCAATATGTTTTATCGAGGAACTATCTTGAATTGGGATCACCCGCCCAAGCAAGACTGCTGGTAGATTTCCACCTGCCTGAGTCAGGTGCGACAGTTCGTACAGCGGCAAGCGATGCACTATGCGCCCCGGCAGCAGCGTGGCTTTTGCCACTGTTGGGGATGGTTTTTTGTCCCGCCCATGCCTGGTAGAATTGGGGGATTGTTTATCAGTGTGTTTATCTTATTGGGTTTGGCACGATCATAACATATATATATATGCATATATAATTATGATATTATATATAATTATATATATAGTATATATTAATCTATAATCGAAAAACATATGTCATATAGACATACTGTTGCACAAGGAACCAGGCCTTTCTGACATCAGATCCACACATGATCATTGCATTTGTACAATAAATTACTTCAAAGCAAACGTGGTATCCCCGATTGTCCATTGAATTGATGCAACCCAACAGCAGATAGTGTTTACTTCACAAAAACATGGTGTGCTTTGTATCCATTTGTTTCACATTTTCTGAAACAGAATCCCAGCCCACCCAAGTCCATGTTTGACAGTTACATTCTTATTTTCATAGGATACAATGGATTGAATCCTTGTGTTTTTGCAGGTGATATGCTCATGTTGGAAGGATATCATCCTATGTAATGACATGTTGTCTAAGTAAAATCACGGTTCTTCTTTTCCAGGGGGAAATAACGATTTTCCATTATGTTCAAATTATGTTTCATGATTTCATCCTTTGCACAGTTTCATAGAGTTTCCATGATGTCATCACCATCTTTCGTAGTAAAATCATCACTTTATCCATGTTTCCATTTTCCCCCCCATTTTTTGCACCTGTTGGGACATCTCCATCCTGGAAAAACGACCGCTGTCAGCGCTCAGGTGCCGATGTTCACCTGGACCCGCAGCTTGACGTTGCAGAGCCTGCGGGCGGATCTCATTGCCGGACTCACGGTGCCGCGGATGGTGGATTTTTCATGTTTTTTTCATGGTGAAAGTGGTGATTCTTCATGGGGATTTTTAAGATTTATGATATTTTATAATCATGAATGGTATGATATTAGATGATATTAGTATGGATGAATAATGACCATATCATTGTTCATTCTTATCTAGGTACTGTAGCCTCTCGTAAACATACAAAAAAGTATGGAAAATTACCATTGCACATCTGGGTAAATGGGTAAATCAACTATGAATCTATGGCCATGTTGAATAGCTTATTGGTGATGGAATCATGGGAATGTTTTTCTGATTTATGAACTTGGGATTTATCATATTTATCCCTAGCAAATCCTTACGTTCATATGTGAAAAGCCTGAAGCATTTAGTTCATTCCTATGATTTGATGGGGAAATATATGAACTTCATGGTGATTTTGAATGGTGATTGGTTGACTGGGAATGTTTTGATGATTTGAAATGGGATTTTTGTTGGTGATGTTTTTTGGAATTTCATAGGAATCTATAGGGATTTTTCTGGAGATTGAATGGGACCTAATGGGATTTAATGGTGATTGTTCATGGGAATGTTGACAATGTTGATGATTTTGAATGGGACTTCTATAATGAAATTGAATGGCATTTCCATGGTGTTTTAATTGTTTTTTAGAACAAGGGATTTATATTTCACGGTGATTTTTTATGGTGATGTCATGGTGATGTCATAATGTGGCTAAAAAAATTGGATTTCATGAGGTTTTAAAACGGATGGTTACCCTCTGGTGAACTAACATAGCAATGGAAAATCACCATTTTTAATGGGAAAATCCACTATAAATCACCATTTTCAATAGCTATGTTAAATTACCAGAGGGGTAATAGGATTGTTAACATATTGAAGTCAAGAGGATTTGCTGGGAATTTTATGACCTACTTGGATTGTAGGGTATTAGAATGTATTACATTATCCAACAGATTGAGGATTATCTGAATCCATTGTGGGAAATTGATGGAAGAACTGATCTTCCCAATGGAACATCCACCACTTAGGGAAATCGATCTTGCGGGAATATGGCATTGTTTTCCCTATTGTGCGGGTTCCTTAAGCCATTCCAAGAACATGAGAGGGGTGACACTATGAAACATCGATTGATGTCACTGGGAACATGATGAGTTCACTAGGAAACATGGGTTTTTGACGCATCACCGCTGTTGATGAACTGATGTTGGATCCCTGCAACATCCTGGAACTGGTTGGATGCATGGTTTATTGGGGATGGTTTTGCTAGCTAGGTGATAGTAAATCAAGGTAATTATGGTATTTGAGTCGGGTTTGTCCTCAAAGATGTGATTGTTTCATTTTTTTTACCACTGAAGACCAAGCCATTCCCTTACTAGCCATGGTTGAGGATTAAGATGTCTCATAGGATTGTAATTCAGGTCCCTATGGCCTTGGTCCATTCTACTTCAACCATTGGTGATGATGGTTAAGCATATTGGTTTTCAGGTGGAGATCCTGATGGCATGGCGGGTTCATACCCCGATGTGGATTGGTCCAAGAGTAGGGGAATTATCACCAAGTTCTGATCATCAAAAAAAACTGACAACGCAGGGAAAAACCTGGGTATCCTCAAACTTTGCGGCTGGCTCAACATGGGGTTTGTCCTAAATATATTGATTATATTGTATTGGGTGTACAGGAAACCCACAATCCGAATATTGAACGGATTCATTTGTAATGGTGGATTGGAAATATGTGTCATGATCAATCAACCCTAGCCCTGATTGATACCAGTTTGAGACTCGTGTGGATTCCCAAGGGTTTTCCGATCAGTTTGGTGGTTCCAACTATTTTAACTTGTCCATCCCCATAGGATCCATGTATGGTATATATGGTATTATATGGTAACATTTACCATCAATATACCCCCAATGTTAGCATATATACCATACATGGATCCTATGGGATCCTACACGGGATAATTAACCCATCCTACACGGGATAATTAACCCGACTTATATAGAATTCTTATTGTTTGGATGCTTGCAATGTCAACCCCGGATCAATCAATTCTGTTGATCAATCATCCAGACATCACCCTAAAGAGTACTCTAAGATCTGGTTGTCCGGAATATCAGTTCTGTTAATCAAGTTTAGTCAATAGTGTTTCAAATTACTCTAAGATCTGGTCTTCCGGAATTATATAGTAACTATAACTAGATGTAACTAGATCATTGCTATACAATGATGAAGTAACCATAAGTAACCCATGTTCTTCAAACACTGCGATCACATTTCAATCGTCAAAGGTCCCAGTGGTCTGCCCAGTGGTCTGCCCCTGGGATCCCTGGGATCCAGCGCCAGGTGGGTGTCATGGTCATCCCGCAGAGTATGTCCTACGCAAATATTGCAGGAGGGTCATCTCCGTTGGGTCTTGGATGGTTGATCTGTGGATAATTATGATAACTACATATAACTACAATGTGAGGCCCCGGCAAATTGGATAGCGTTCAATTGGGGTTCACGAAGTTCACATCACTCCAATTTCACGAACTGGTTTTTAAAGTATTTATAACGAACTAGTTACTGGTGCGAATCTAAACCAACTATAATTATGTCTAGTGATGTTATTTTTGGATGGGTGGTTATTGGAGTACTGAGTACTGTTATAACAGCTAATAGATGCTAATAGCATATTATAGCAGTATAGCATTATTATAGAAACCATCCAGAAACCATCTGGTTATGACTAACAGTTTGCCATGGAAAATCACCATTTTAATAGGTAAACCATCTATAAATGGGCCAATCTGGTTGGTGGTTTGGAACCATGGATGTTTATGACTTTCCCATCATATTGGGAATGTCATCATCCCAACTGACGAACTCCATCATTTTTCAGAGGGGTAGGGCTCAACCACCAACCAGTGATGTTATTCCCCACCTGCCAGGTGAGGGTTGTTAGATTTTATGTCAGTTGCCTCCTCCTCCTCCTCCTTCTCCTCCTCCTCTCTCCTCCTCCTCCGCCTCCTCCTGCCTCGTCCTCCTCTCCTCCTCCTCCTCGTCCTCCTCGTCGTCCTCGTCGTCCTCGTCGTCCTCGTCGTCCTTGCTCAACTGCGACCCGCGATCCACAGTGTTCTCTGCCGGACCTCAACCACGACCATCCACGCCCAGTGTTCCCTGCCGGACCTCAACCACGACCATCCACGCCCAATGTTCCCTGCCGGACCTCAACCACGACCATCCTCGCCCAGTGTTCCCTGCCGGACCTCAACCACGACCATCCATCCAGTGTTCCCTGCCGGACCTCAACCACGACCATCCACGCCCAGTGTTCCCTGCCGGACCTCAACCGCGAGTATCCACGCCAAGTGTTCCCTGCCGGACCTCATGTAGGAAGATATGGGACAAAGAATGTGCAGAAGAAAGTTAGAAAGAATGTCAGAAAGAATGTCAGAAGATATGCCAGAAGATATGCCAGAAGATATGCCAGATAGAATGCCAGATAATATGCCAGAAGATATGCCAGATAGAATGCCAGAAGAATTTGCCAGATAGAATGCCAGAAAATATGCCAGAAGATATGCCAGATAGATATGTCAGAAGATATGCCAGAAGATATGTCAGAAGATATGCCAGAAGATATGCCAGAAGATATGCCAGAAGATATGTCAGAATATATGCCAGAAGATATGTCAGATAGAATGCCAGAAGATATGTCAGAATATATGCCAGAAGATATGCCAGATAGAATGCCAGATTGAATGCCAGAAGATATGTCAGATAGAGTGCCAGAAGATATGCCAGATAGAATGCCAGAAGATTTGCCAGATAGAATGCCAGAAGATATGCCAGAAGATATGCCAGATCATATGCCAGAAGATATGCCAGATAGAATGTCAAATAGAATGTCAGAAGATATGTCAGATAGAATGCCAGAAGATTTGCCAGTAAGAAAATGTATAAATGTCATGGTGGGGATCACACGAAGTAAAGTAATTGTTGATTATTTATGTGCCGCACGAGGCAACTCAGAGCGGAGGAATGGAAAAAAATATAACTATTTACAATGTTTTATAATTATGTATACATATATATATATATATATGTATACATATAGTGATGTTGTTCAACCAACCAATATATATCCAATGGAGGTTAAACATAACGTACTAATGCTCGGTTGTTCAGGCGGCCATGGGCAAAAGTCCTGTTTCAAAGTAGTTGGTAAACTAACAGTTCGCTATGGAAATTATCACTATTTCTAATGGGTAAATCCACTATTTCTATGGCAATTTTCAATAGCTTTTTGTATGTTTTCCAGGCCGGGTATATGAGGATGTCATGGGTCATCCCAGCCGGCCCATTTGATTCCCAATTTGGGACATGATTGGTTCAGCCCTGGAGAATACCGAAACCAGGAATTTTCTTTGTACAGAAACCATGAAAGACTTTTGATGGAAAAGGTGTTTTCATATTACTGAAGTAGATATGTTTTCCTGGTTTGAAATGCAAACAGCTGAAGTATTTGTGTGTTTCTTTCTGAACTGATGAATTTATGTTGAAAATTCAATTTCTCAATCATGTGCTCAGGTCATCGAAAAGCTCCGGTCAATCTCCCAATCTAATTATCCATGATGTGTTTCAGGGCTCCAAGTATCGCCAAGTACCTTTGTAAACGGTATATACAGTAATCAGTAGCCTCCAAAACATAGAAAAAACATGTCATTGACCCTCTGGTAATTTAACATAGCTATTGAAAATGGCCATTTATCGTGGATTTTCCCATTGAAAATGGTGATTTTCCATAGCTATGTTAAATTACCAGAGGGTACCATGATTTGTCGGACTATGTTGAAATCAGTTTTTTTTCGTTTCTATGATCTTAGAGGATGCTATATATTGACTCGGCAGACCTGCCAAAATCACTGATTTTGTGTTGATAAACCCAATCTGCTTGGTGGTTTGGAACCATGGAGTTTTATGACTTTCCATAGATTGGAAATAATTTTCATCATCCCAACTGAGTTTCATATTTTTCAGAGGGGTAGGTCAACCACCAACCAGTAATGGTGTTGATAAACCCAATTATGAGGATCTGGGGAAGCACAAATGGGCAGAAGCCATGGCAGCTAGCCGCACTCAGTCCATTCAGACTTGCTGAATATATACCCTCTGGTTATTTAACATAGCCATGGAAAAACCCTTATAAATGGAGGTTTCTAGCTGGGAAAATCATCTATAAATGGGTCATTTTCCATGGCTATGTTAAATAACCAGAGGGTAAATCTTTTATTTTCCCGATTTCCCAATCCACTACTTGAGGAATCTACTTAGGGAGCATGTTTATTTTTTCTCGGGAGGGGCGGTTCCTTAACCAAATTCGAGTACGGGTGGTTTGTTTCACTTTGCAAGGTTTGATTGATTAGCGAAGGGCACGTTCCTGCCTGGTAAGCTACATGCATCTAGTCTATCCCTGTGGATCATTGGCTGAAAGACTCATAAAAACCGGAATTTCAGTACCCTTTTCTTCTCCGAGATCCATTAGCTGCAGGACTGCCGTACATCTACGGCATGTACGCGGCGTGCCTTGGAAAACAGAAGAGTTTTGGATTCCAAGCGCACAAAATCGGGACCCGTTTCGTTCTGAGTAATGTGTCCTGTATGCTTTCTCCCCTACTTCATATCTTAGTTTTCTGCGATGTGGAGGGTGTTGCCTGGTGAATATGTTAATAGTTTGAGGCTTCGCCAAATGTCGATTTAGCCTCCGGTAAAATTTGGCTAATATACAAAAAGCTATTGAAAATGGCCATAGACATAGTTGATTTACCCATTAAACATGGTGATTTTCCATAGTTTTTTGATGTTCTTTGTATGTTTACCAGGTGTTTTGCCAAGCCAAGAGTCAAGGTGTGTCCCGGCCATGGTCTACGCAGTCTTCGGTCAATCTCGGCAATTGGCCGTCGGCGGCGCCCAGCGTTTTTAGGCGTTCTTGAGACACCACCTGAGGTGACGCAATTCTGTGGGATGTTTCTTTGGAATATGTCTTGGATCTACAAATAATATCAATTTATAGTTCCACATATATATATATATTAATTCTATCATATATTATTCAATATTATATAATCTATGTTTGGATATATATATAGAAATGATGAACAATGGTGGTTTAACATGGTTTAACCATGTTGGACCATAGAAACAAAAGGATTTAACCATCAAACATATATGGTGAATATGCGTTCATCCAAAATGGTGGTTGGAGCAAGAGAAATGATGATTGGTTCAGGCCAAAATGGGGGTTGCAAATATAGCTGCAACAGTTACATGGTGATTTGAGGAACCAGAATGGATGTTTAAAATTGTTTAACTACAATCAATGTAGACGTGTAAGTTGATTCATAACGAAGTAGGTTAAGTGGGGTCTATCATGGATATATTCTTCAGGGTTGCTCTAACCCAGCAACCCAGGGACTAAAACCTGTAGTTTCTATTTACCCTCTGGTTATTTAACATAGCCATGAAATGGCCCATTTATAGATGATTTTCCCAGCTAGAAACCTCCATTTATAAGGGATTTTCCATGGCTATGTTAGTCATTTTCATTGAAAAAGGATATAAAAGGACCATCCCCCAAAATAGACCATCAAGATCCTGCCATTTATAGCATTCAGCCAGTATTTTTTTCAGACCGGCTGTCTAACGGTGGGTAATTCTCAGGCTCAAACTGTTAGTTTGGGTGTTAGTAATGCATGGTTAGGAAGGATTTGCCATTCACACAATATCGAAAACATTGAACAACATAAAAATCAGCCATTATCTCATTTGAGGATGCATATGGATGTATAATACAGTATAAAAACTGTTTCGTGGTTTGGAACATTTTTTATTTTCCCCAATAGTTGGGATGATGATCCAATCTGACGAGCATATTTTTCAGAGTAGGTCAACCACCAACCAGATAATCATTAACCATCATTAACCATATAATAACCATATAATAACCATAAATTACCAGATGTACCCTCTGGTAAACTAACATAACTATGGAAAATCACAATTTTCTAGTGAGTAAATCCGCTATAAATGGTCCATTTTCAATAGCAAATTGTTAGTCATTACCAGAGTGTAATAACCATATATTACCCATCATTAACCATATATTACCCATTATTTATTACCCATATATATATATTATATAAATTACCAGATGTATGGATGTATAATACATTATATTATGCGGATGCCGCCGCTGAGGTGGGCCCCGTGGCCATGGTGTCTTTGTTGATCAATGCGGGCCTTGGGGGCGTCATGGCGGAGATCTGCCGGGGGGCCCAGCATGGCCATTTAATTTATTATATATATATACCATCTGGTTATTTAACATAGCCATGAAAAATCACCATTTTAATAGGTAAACCATCTATAAATGGGCCATTTTTCCATGGCTATGTTAAATAACCAGAGGGTATATATATATGATACTCTTTGTGTATAATATCATGTATAATATCATATATATAGTATATTCATATATATATATATTATGTATTAACATTGGCAGTGTATAGATTGGTGAGTTTATAGCTGTATCATAGAAAAACATGATGTATTGTTGGTTAGCACTTCATCAGATTGCCACAGAGCGTTCGGTTTCATCCGAACGCACAGGTCCTGATTGGGAACCCGGCACAGGCGCGGCATTGCGGCATCGCCGTAGCGGGCCACTACCATGGGATACCATGGGGATCTTTAATGGGGAGGCTTACCAAAAATGGGGAGTTGGACAACTAATAATGGGGATTTATAGGGATTTATAGGGATTTATAGGTGATATAATGGATAATACCCTCTGGTAATGACTAACATAGCTATTGAAAATTGCCATTTATAGTTGATTTTCCTATGAAAAATGGTGATTTTCCATAGTTATATATGTTAGTTTACCAGAGGGTAACATAAATTGACTAAATACAAAATTGTCCAGAATGTACAAATGAATTGAGACATTTTATGAGAGTGCATGAGCCATCATTAGTTAGTAAGATCGCCATGTGAATCCATATTTGCTGGTCCAGATTCCTATGAATTACATATTAGAATTACCCATAAATGATGGTGTGTAAGGGGACATGCCCGAAAATTTGTTTCTTGTCCACTTTGGGAACATTGTGATATCTCCAGGTATCATCAACAAGGGGTAAGTTTCCTAATGTTGTTATGATGGTGCGATATGTTGCGGGTAAACATTGCATTGTATTACGTTGTATTGGGAATACATAGGTCTACAGGTCTAGCTGGACTAGACCCAGGTATCTTTGGCATGGTCATTGATGAGTTTCCAGATAGAGAATTGGAATCTTGGACTCGACATGATGACAATAATCAATTTGGGCGGATGATAATTAGGCAACTGATACAATTTCCTGATTTGGCCATGGTTCAACATGCCGAATAAATCGTCCTAAATCTTACCGTTGCAAAACACAATGTAATTTCATATCATGCAGTTTTAATACCTTCCGGATGAGGGTTTCTCAGACGTGGGTACCCCAAAATCATCCAACATTGGCCTTTTTTCGATGAGGTTTCCCAATGGTTCGGGGTTACTCCAATTTTGAGAAACACTGAAATGGCTATGGGTGGGTCAAAACCTGAGTACTCTGGTGATAACCAACATTGCGGGCAAATGGATGTTTATCCCAAAAAAATATGGTAAGATAGGTTTTGACATATCAAGCGACTTAGTAACTTAGTAACTGCTTGATTAATAACTGATTGGTGGTTTGGAACATTTGGATTTGTTTTTCATTCAGTTGGGAATATCATCATCCCAACTGACTTTCACTAACTCCATCATTGTTCAGAGGGGTAGGGCTCAACCACCAACCAGATAATTATTAACCATCATTAACCATATAATAACCATATATTACCCATTATTAACAGATAACCAGATAACCAGATAACCTTGGTTAGCAAGTCCCCCGTGCCTCGCTTCGTGGGATCTACCGGGACACCGGGGGACACCGGCAGCTCTTGACAGCGAATACAACCAGCAGTGTACCAAGCAGTGCGCTGTGTTTCACACGGGGGAAACGGGCGTCCGAAATGGTCAATGTTTATCAACTGAAACTGGGGACATCCCCTTGAAAGCAATTCTAACACCCCAGGAGTGTCACAAGTGATCAGATAAGCTCAGTAAGTGATTGATCAAATATCATCAGATAAACACAGGGGTGACTGATCTGTATTCGACAACTTTCGGCACAAACAAACCGAACTGGGTGCAGATGGGTATGAGTCAAAACCCGGGTACACTGGTGCACCCCACAGTAAATGGATGTTCCTTCCCGAGCATATGGTAGTCAACCGCAATAATCCATGCAATTATTTTCCCAAACTAGGATGTTCAAAACTCATCAAAACTCAGTGTTGATCCAAACATGCTTCTCCAATACCGGCAACTATGATGGGCAACAAGGGTTCATTGGTTTGGATCCCCATATTATAGTTCATTGGTGAACAAAAATAACATAAAGCCTAGAATTCACCAAAGTCAACGTAGCTGTCCATTGAATCTCATCAGGTCCCATTATATTCCCATTATATATAATCCCCATTATATCCCCATTACAATCCCCATTACAGCCTATCAAAAGTAGTATTCTTCCACTACATAAACCATCATCAACCCATGACCTCCATTACGCCAGCCCCAAAGTTCTTCAGTTTCCAGGTACATCAACCTGGCCCTCTTCACCTCTGCAGTCATGGGACTCATGCAGCGCCTTGGCGGTGCTGGACCATGGCATTTTGAGTGGGGCCTAGCCTCTGGTAAACTAACATAGCTATTGAAAATGGTGATTTATAGTGGATTTTCCCATTAAAAATTGTGATTTTCCATAGTTACGTTAGTTTACCAGAGGGTAACAAATGTGGGATCTACAATAATTCATCACATTTCCCAGTGGTTGATGAAGTTGATGAAAGGTAAGTGGTGTGTGAAACTGATATGAATTGATGATACTCAGTAGTTCTTGATGAAATCAAGACCAGGGACCCATTTTCCAGAGATGTTCAATTTCCAGATGCATTTTTGGTCAACAGTAGCAGGGCACCAGCGACGACAAAAAAATGGCAGTTTCCTGCAAGTTGGACTTCCAAGATAGGTAAGTTCAATATTGATGATTTGTGGTAGACATGGAGGTTTCCTAAATTATGGGTACCCCAAACCATAGGTTTTCCCATCGATTATAAGCACTTTTGGATGATTTGGGGGTATCCCCATTTTAGGAACCTCCCACATATCTATAGTTAACTAGGGCAAGGTGGCTCCACCTTGTGGCTTGGAACCAGCTCTGAAACCTGGTGTTTCTTGTCGCTTGTGCATTCAAAATTAGTTATCTTGGTGAATTTGAATTCAAAAAAAGGCCCACAAAAAGGAAAAACTCATCAGACTCTGTAACAATTCCCATTCTGCATTGCTTTAAAGCTAGATCATTCTAGACGATTCTGGATTAGACTATATATATGTTTGTTGGTGTATGTTTATTCGATAGTTCCTACATGTGTCTTGTTCCTAATTGCTCAGTATCAATATATTCCTGCCAGCATATTGGCAAATACCATGGATTCAAGATGCTATCATCACTATCATCCGAAGATGGTCCCACATATCATGATATTCCATAGCCATAGTTTTCCTGCATATTTTCATGTCTTAAATCAATGGATTGATTTAAGGGAAAATCTGAACCGGAACGGATTTTGCCATGAAAAATATAGATTTCCTGTTGAATTGTCCCGTATACCGATCCATTTATTCAACACCCTATTGAAATCCCCATGCATTTTGAAGCACAGGGTCCAAAATCCAGACTCAGGATTTTGGCCATGGTCTTAAGGCGCGAACGACTGCGGAACTTGTTTCTTTGCGTCATTACAGGGACATGGCCATTTATCAGCTAGAACTGATTATAAATGGAACTATACATTCTATGTGTGGGGTTATAAGTACTTATAACTGGTAAAGGGCCAGAACTGTAGAAATCCTCATTGTTGAGAAAGGCCACGAATTGGATTACATAGAATCAGCTCCGATGGCAGTCGGACATTTCATGCCATGATCTATGGTGCTGTGTGCTTTGATGTTTTCTGGTCCAAGAAATGAATGATGCATCATTTATTTGCTTATCTTGAGCTTTCTGTCTTTTTTTTTTGTGTTGCTCATCATGCTTCATCCTCCAAGGTTGCTCACAATCCAAGGTTCTACGTACTTGTGATTTTTCACATGTGATTTTTCACATGTGTTTGCCGTAGGATTTGATTATCCAATGACTCAGTCGGGGTATCCCATGTGATTTTCTGGGACTTTTGAGAGACACCTGGGGATGACGCTAATGGGTAAAACCCCGCCAGGATGGGCTTTCTGGTGACTTTCCTGGGACATCCTGTGACCAGCGGTTTCTCGGTGGATTTAAGGAAGATATGTTTGGAAGATTTGAAGCAGAAACCAAGCCATGTTGAAACTGTCGTTAATGATGATGGTTAATGATGGTTAATGATAGTTAATGATGGTAAAACCAAGCCAAGTCTATCCATCAAACAATCTATCAAACAATATGGAACGATAAAATTCACGATATGTAGGTTTGGATCACGAACATCTGAACAGATCTACTGGAGATGTTTGTTTCGCTTTCCGATGGGTCGCTGTGTTTTTTGGTTTCAATTTTTCATGTCGAGGGTAGCGACCCGGTCGGGGTCACCTTGAACTTGGGCCCAAATGTGACATTGAATTCAGCATAATTCAGCAAAAGATCATCAGAGATGGTCCGTCAAGTTTTTCGAAGGATTTGATATATCTGGTTTGCAAACCAGACAGTTCAGGAAGGTGTAAGCGATTTAGCCCAGTCTTTACATTCAACCATGAAGATGCCGCTACACGCCAACACCACTTGGTGGTTACTGACCAAAACTTCCCTTATTGTGTGAATGAAAGTTAAATATATTGAATATATAGTATGGGAGAACTCTACAGCTATGAACGTTATTGGGCAGTGTGTTTTGGGGCAACATTGACGTGTGTTCGACAGTAGCGGATGTCTGGTGTTCATGGAATATGCCAGATCTATCCCGTGGCATCCACATGGCTGGTTTCATGTAGGTGCAGTTATGGCCATGGCTATTAGTTGTAACTGGTTATTTCTACGGGATACTACGGGATTATACATTCTATAAATGGGGTTAGTTCAGTACTTATAACTGGTAAAGGGCCATAAGTGTAGTTGAGTTTACCAGCACTATTGGATTATATGGGTTGGAAATACCCACAAAGCAATTAAAAAAGACACTCCTTGATGTGCATCCCAAATAGTTGTTGACAACCATGGTCACTTTCAGCCTACACCGGATATCCCCATATATAATATATGTATGTGGATATACTAACACATATATATATATATATACACTCCCTTTGGTAAATTAATAGCCTAATAGCCGTGGAAAGCTTAGTGTTTAATCAGAAATCATCGAACCAAATGAACGTTTTTTTTTTGCCATAGAAGTTTACTGGAGGGTGCATATAGAGTATATTATATATAATATAATATGTATATATATATTATACGACGTATGCAAGCTATATAGATAGGTAACTTGGCTGGTTGTTTCAGCTTCGGGTTTTTGTGTCCCACTGATCTTCAACCCGCGGAGGTTTCACGAGTGGTGCTGCCATTATCATTGGCCTCAGTCAGTTGAAGTATATGCTGGGGATTCACTTGAACAAGTCTCTTGCCAAGTTGCAGGGGTTGGTAACTGTCCCATTTTGGGAATATTGGACATCACCTTATAGTAGCCATTATAGACCATATACCTAATGGTTGGGTGATGTTCAATGGGGACATCAGTCATGACCCATGAGTTGACAAGCAGTGGAAGTAAAAAACCCGTTAAAAATGGGACTTGAATGGGATTTTAAACTGGGGTCTAACGGAGATTTGCATGGGATTCTAATGAAATTTTCGCATCTAACATAAGGATTCAACGATGAATGAGGGTGAAACATCAGGCTTGTTTTCATGGCTCAAGTTGTTTGGTCGATGCTGATCCGTATGGCTGAGATACAGTTATGGCCTGAGTTATACCACTTACAAGTTGTAAGTACTGAACTAACCCCATTTATAGAATGTATATATAATCCCGTAGTATCCCGTAGAAATAACCAGTTATAACTAATAGCCATGGCCATGACTGTAGAGAGAACTTGAACTACGTAACCCTCTGGTCATCAAAAGTGGCTAGCTCGGAAATCCATGGGGGTTTCTAGTTGGGAAAATCATCGAACTTAATGGTGGGTTTTCCAGCAAACCACCTTGGTGGTGGGTTTTCCAGCAAACCACCTTGGAGTTTGTCCAATCCTGGGCCCGAAAATGCGACAAATGAGTGGTTTCAAATTGAGGCAACGGTTCACTGGAAGGACACCAGTAGGATTTGAGACATGAATTTTGCTTATCGACCCTCTGGTAATTTTGATTCTCGGGAATCGAATTAGATGGGCCATCACCATTTACTAGTACCGCAGGGTTTTTCAGGTTCCAACATCATGACAGGCTTTGTTCCCACCTTGCGGCGGTCGAACTTCCCCCATGGCACTTGGAAACCCCGAACTTTTTGTGGAGATAAACAAAATGGGAAATTCATCGAACTTATAAATTGGGATTTTCCAGCAAACCAACATTGATTACTGTGATTACTGTTATGAGTATCGAATTTTAATGTTCAATTGTAATATCAAACAGTTTTTGCATTGGATTGTCCGTTTTTGGCATGTCCAGTAGTATTGTACTGCGTTTGACTTAGACCATGATGGATTTCCATACCATTTCCAGTCGCACTTGGATCAACGGATTGACAAATTAATATTACTCAACTATTACATTCAAAAATTATGGGAAACACAAAAAATAATCAAAATGTATTGGTTCAATTCATTTTAACATATATTGAACATATAAAAAATCCTATGTGAAGAACATCCTAAACTCCTAAACTATATACTTTCTGGCAGAGTCAACGTGGGGCACATCGCCCAGTATCCTGTTGGTGTTAGAAATTGGTGGTCCCCTCAACTGATGAAGAAACCTATATAGAGTACCCTCCAGCCCTTCAATAAGTAAAAAAATACAAAACTACCCAGTTCAAAAAATATCAATGGTAGATTTGTCCAGTTCGCACAGTCTTCGTCATCACAAAAAAAAGGTATCACATCATTTTTCTCCCCAATGCATTCCCATTAGGACAAATCACATCATTTCCCATGAATGAAATCCCATCATTTGCTGGGTAAGTCCTAGTCCATGGTCCAAGCCGCTCGCTGAGGTCGCAGTACATCTATGTGATGTTTTTGGATTGCGTGCCACTGATGGATGGCGGGGTGAAGACATGGGAAGACAGGGAAGATCTTGGATTGTGGAGTTAGAGGTTTGTGTATGTACTGAAATGTATTTTTTGAAAATGCTATGATTTCTCGAAGTTTTTCCTATCCAACCTGGAACAATTCCAAATATCTTGATTTGGATGTTCTTATATAATAGGAATTACAGTAACACAAAGGGGGGTTCCCCAAAATCGGGGTACCCCCAATCATGCAAAATTGGACCATTTTGGTATTGAAACCCATGGTGACTTGGGTGACCCCCATTTTAGGAAAACCAGACAAATGAATTGTGCATTTTTCTTGTCTTCATCCAAATGTCGAGCGTCGTTTTCACCGCTTGCCATCAAACATGGAAGGACGCTGGGAAATTCCAAAGTGAACGGAGGTTTATAGCTAGGAAAAACATATGAAAACAATAGCAAACCGATAGGAAATATGGGGAAATCCTCTACAAATGGAGGTTTATCGACGATTTATCGAACTAAATACATATTTTCCAGCACACTATGTTTGATTACAGGGGGTATTACCGCACATCATGGACCATGTGTTCTAGCGGACTTCAAGACCCAACTGTTTGAGGGTCCGTTTGACTTGACGGAAAGCGTCATGGGACTCCCAAAGAAGATGCGCAACAGGTATGGAGAAACTCGAAATTTACTTTATGTTATTGCATGTTACTACTATAATAGAATGGGCTAACGCCCTGGTGCCGCCGACCCCCTTTCAAGGGCGCCTGGCAAACGGCAGGCTTGAAGGCCCTAACAAGAGAGGGCTATGTGCAGGCAAAGGGCAGGCTGCAATGCTGGAACGCTGACGGCCACGAGGGATGTGCAGGCAAAGGACAGGCTGCAACCCTGGAACAGCAAAGGCTGACGGCCAGAGGGCTTGGTGGAAGCTGCCGCGAGGGAGTTGGAGGGTTTTAGGGGTTTTAAGCGTTTGAAGCCTGGCAAACGGCAGGCTTGAAGGCCTTAACAAGAGAGGGCTATGTGCAGGCAAAGGGCAGGCTGCAATGCTGGAACGCTGACGGCCAGGAGCTTGGTGGAAGCTGCCGCGAGGGATGTGCAGGCAAAGGGCAGGCTGCAACCCTGGAGCAGCAAAGGCTGACGGCCAGAGGGCTTGGTGGAAGCTGCCGCGAGGGAGTTGGAGGGTTTTAGGGGTTTTAAGCGTTTGAAGCCTGGCAAACGGCAGGCTTGAAGGCCCTAACAAGAGAGGGCTATGTGCAGGCAAAGGGCAGGCTGCAATGCTGGAACGCTGACGGCCAGGAGCTTGGTGGAAGCTGCCGCGAGGGATGTGCAGGCAAAGGGCAGGCTGCAACCCTGGAACAGCAAAGGCTGACGGCCAGAGGGCTTGGTGGAAGCTGCCGCGAGGGAGTTGGAGGGTTTTAGGGGTTTTAAGCGTTTGAAGCCTGGCAAACGGCAGGCTTGAAGGCCCTAACAAGAGAGGGCTATGTGCAGGCAAAGGGCAGGCTGCAATGCTGGAACGCTGACGGCCAGGAGCTTGGTGGAAGCTGCCGCGAGGGATGTGCAGGCAAAGGGCAGGCTGCAACCCTGGAACAGCAAAGGCTGACGGCCAGAGGGCTTGGTGGAAGCTGCCGCGAGGGAGTTGGAGGGTTTTAGGGGTTTTAAGGTTTGAAGCCTGGCAAACGGCAGGCTTGAAGCCCTAACAAGAGAGGGCTATGTGCAGGCAAAGGGCAGGCTGCAATGCTGGAACGCTGACGGCAGGCTGCAACCCTGGAACAGCAAAGGCTGACGGCCAGAGGGCTTGGTGGAAGCTGCCGCGAGGGAGTTGGAGGGTTTTAGGGGTTTTCAAGCGTTTGAAGCCTGGCAAACGGCAGGCTTGAAGGCCCTAACAAGAGAGGGCTATGTGCAGGCAAAGGGCAGGCTGCAATGCTGGAACGCTGACGGCCAGGAGCTTGGTGGAAGCTGCCACGAGGGATGTGCAGGCAAAGGGCAGGCTGCAACCCTGGAGCAGCAAAGGCTGACGGCCAGAGGGCTTGGTGGAAGCTGCCGCGAGGGAGTTGGAGGGTTTTAGGGGTTTTAAGCGTTTGAAGCCTGGCAAACGGCAGGCTTGAAGGCCCTAACAAGAGAGGGCTATGTGCAGGCAAAGGGCAGGCTGCAATGCTGGAACGCTGACGGCCAGGAGCTTGGTGGAAGCTGCCGCGAGGGATGTGCAGGCAAAGGGCAGGCTGCAATGCTGGAGCAGCAAAGGCTGACTGCCAGAGGGCTTGGTCGGCTTGGTGGAAGCTGCCGCGAGGGAGTTGGAGGGTTTTAGGGGTTTTCAGCGTTTGAAGCCTGGCAAACGGCAGGCTTGAAGGCCCTAACAAGAGATGGCTATGTGCAGGCAAAGGGCAGGCTGCAATGCTGGAACGCTGACGGCCAGGAGCTTGGTGGAAGCTGCCGCGAGGGAGTTGGAGGGTTTTAGGGGTTTTACGCGTTTGAAGCCTGGCAAGCGGCAGGCTTGAAGGCCCTAACAAGAGAGGGCTATGTGCAGGCAAAGGGCAGGCTGCAATGCTGGAACGCTGACGGCCAGGAGCTTGGTGGAAGCTGCCGCGAGGAATGTGCAGGCAAAGGGCAGGCTGCAACCCTGGAACAGCAAAGGCTGACGGCCAGAGGGCTTGGTGGAAGCTGCCGCGAGGGAGTTGGAGGGTTTTAGGGGTTTTAAGCGTTTGAAGCCTGGCAAACAGCAGGCTTGAAGGCCCTAACAAGAGAGGGCTATGTGCAGGCAAAGGGCAGGCTGCAATGCTGGAACGCTGACGGCCAGGAGCTTGGTGGAAGCTGCCGCGAGGGATGTGCAGGCAAAGGGCAGGCTGCAACCCTGGAGCAGCAAAGGCTGACGGCCAGAGCTTGGTGGCAGCTGGCGCGAGGAAGCAGTGCAGCAGTTGGAGGGTTGTAAGGGCTTTGAACGTTTGAAGGGGCTTGGTGGCAGGTGCCGCGAAGGATTTGGAGGGCTTTAAGAGTTTTAAGCGTTTGAAGCCTGGTAACGGCAGGCTTGAATGCCTCAATAACAGAGGGCTATGACAAAGCAGATTCCACACCTCCGGTCCCAGGCGCCGCCCCTGCCTTGGCGAAGGCCAGGGTCGGCGGATTTAGTAGGAGTTTACATTTCTATCTTTTTTGGCGTTGCCATAACCACTATTCATCCATCATGAGCCAACATGACCCAATCATGAGCCAATCATGAACCACTCATGAACCACTCACGTAGCAATATGGATCACCCAATCAACTGATAGCAACCATTGAACCGATATAAACCTGTCATCTGGGCCAGATCAACTTCATAATAGAGCCACGGAGATTATGAATTAGCACTGCACTTGTTACATACATCCTCCCTGAAGTTGCCGGATTTGCAAGAATTGCTACAGGTAAAACCTATTGGCCCCTCAATGATGAGGTATTATTACACTACAAATGATGAATTTCTCCGGTGCAAAATGGCCCTTTTCATTTTATTTGATTGGCACCCCATCGTTTGGTTGCCACAACCATTCAGACTGTATATTCGACTAATTCCTATTAATATGTTTGAATTCATGATATCTTCCCCGCCCCCAAGTATGACCAATTCTCAAGTATGGCCCATGCTTCCGCAGAGATCGGTTCGGGATGATCCTAGGCGCATAAGCTCTCGCACACCAACTGGATGACTCTGTTCTTAGGCCTGGGGGCAGGATACTGGGCTGATTGGTTATAGGTACCCTTCAGCAATCTAACATGACGTGAAACCCCCCCATTGTTAGATGATTTTACCCGAACTAGATTTCCACTTGCCAGGTTTGATTACCAGAGTGTATGATAGGAGGGATTATTGACTTACCTTTTTTTTTTGATTCTAAACTTACTGAACTATTTCATAAGAATAAGCAACGGGTTACCAGGATGCCTGTCAAACAACCAGCAGTATAATTCATGGGATGGGAAAACGGGGTATCACTGTCATGGTTCAAATTTGGGTGTGAGATGGCTTGACTTGTGGGAGTATCCCAAATTTGACAGGAAATCTGTATGACCCGAAAAGGGTGTGTGTGTGTACACTGCTACTAGCATGCAGTCTGAATATTGATTTGGCAGGGGAGTGCGGCATGATTGTGGGACCGCACTCAACGAAGCTACCACAATCATGGGATACTGGGTCTGATCAACCCAGCGTACCTGCATCAGAGGATAGCAACCGGCTAAGCTGAGAACCGGAAACAAAATAACTTCGATATAGCATCCGGCTAAGCTGAGAACCGGAATCCATTTTTCATATTTCATAATTCATGCCTCATGTCCTATGATCCGTTTCAGGCCCTTTATTCAAGAACTGGTGGTGTTCTTTCACTTCTTCTCACTACGATCGAATCTATATATCCCACAGTGTGTTTGTGTGTGTGCGCGCGCAATCATATAAAATCTCTATTGCGAGTGGCTTTAATCATGTCCTTGTTGACTCATTCACATTCGAAAAAAAAACGCAAAAAAAATATTTTGGTTGGTTTCAAGCCCATCTTTATTGGTTCAATCATATTGTCAACCTCCTTTTTTTAAATCATTTATCGATATTTGCGAGTTACAAGTTACAAGGGATTTTCCAGCACGTGTTTGATGACACCAGCTGGGTATCATGAACTCAATGAACTCCCCAATTGTTACATCTATTTACTATTCATACTTACGGAGTCGCCGGTGGACTCCGACACCAGGCGCACTTGCCTTGATCTTCCTCCTCTCTGCCAAAGTGGCGTCGCGACGCTACAAGAGGCCGAGCGTCCGAGCGTTGTTTGTTTCGCAGCGGAGCCGCGACATCTGGAGCGGCCATGGGGTAAGCACTCTGTTTGGTAAAGACTCGGCCTGGGTCAGATTGGTGTATAGTCAACCAACAAGTAATCATTTATTGATTGTAACTGTTGTTGATGGTTGATAGGGGAAAGAGATGGTTTTGGTGAAACCACACGTTTGGATCTCATTGATTAAACGTGTTGGCAGTAGATGTTGTTGATTGGTTATAGGGAGCCATGAATTACATGGTCTATTGGAAAAATTATGAACTGACCCATGAACTGGTATCCCGTTCTCAACCAACCAGTTGAGAAACGGGATGATGGAGGGGCTTGAACACTACTCAGAAATAATTGACCCCGCAAAGAAAGGATGGCTCAAAACTAGAAACGATCAATAAATTGTGGGTTCAGAAATCACAGTTGAGCGGGCACATACTTTAGATCAATTAGTTGGTCAACTATGTTGTACATCAGTCCCACCTTATTCTCACTGTCTTGTTGTTGGTGCCGGGTCGAATGTAGCCGTGATCCGTAGACTGGGCAGTCACTGGGACGTCCAATCGAGACTTTCTGAGGGTTCTCAACATCGCCACAAGTATCAGAATTGGATCTGCTTGTGGAATCTTGGACTAGGGACCTCAGATTTTGTTCTGTCAACCATACACTATGTATGTTATATGTATATATATATATGTATTATATTATACTATATTATACTATATTATACTATATTATACTATATTATACTATATTATACTAAATTATATTGTATTATATTATATTATATCATATTATAATATAATTAATCATATCCCATGATTTGTTGTCTTATTCCTCTCCACTCTATGAGTTGCTAAATTTATTTTCTTGGGTCAATAGAAAGAACATGAGATGACAAAGGTCGCTACTGTATGGTCTTAATGTGCTTTAAATAGGAGCCACATATAGTCACAGTATGTTTCACAACAGATTTTGTGGATACCGAAAATGTCTGCACTGCAACATGGGCTTGAAAATCACATACCCCATAAAATTGATGGTTAGTCAACGGTTAGTCCCTATTTCCCCTATGAAAATGACGTGTTTTGGAGAAATTTGAAGGGCTTCACCACACTTCCAATCCCAACGCGCCCCGCCAGGCTGTCCCTGTTTGGTCCTTTGGCACCCTTGCTGTGCTGCATGGTCTCTCGGTACCCGCTGTATATAGTGGATCTTGAGGATTAAACTATGGTAAATACCACCAAAAAAGATAGAACAGTGATGCACAGTGAATCTTGACTTTGAAATGGGGACTTACTATGACGAAAAACCAGAGATGATCGGAACACCGTCCAGTTCGTGGGTTTCGGATGATTTTGGAGTAATTACCCTATGTTCAGACAAGCCCATGAATAAAAGTACAGGGGATTACAGGAGTATCCCAAAAAAAGTTCGGCTGGAAGTTTTTGGAAGTTAGGGAGGGTGAGATGGTACAACCAGTTGAATTATACACAAGTAATGATAAATATGTGGAGTTGGAGAGGCTTTATTTTTGTGGGACATTGGACCGAACATCCATTCACCAGCCAGTTAAACTGGTGTTTTTCACCAGGTGAGTCCATGAGTTTTGACCAACTCCAACAGCTGGATCTGTGAAAAACCATCGGCCCTGCAAGGCTGGAACTTTGTTGCATCTTGGCACAATTCAGGAGCTCGGGACATGATGAATAGGTGTTAAAAGCGCCAGAAACTTGCGTAGATAGAGACAACAATGATAACGATATATAGATTCGACGTGTTTGCTTTGTCATGTATATATATATATATACAGTACATGTATAGTATATGTATAGCTTATAAGTATAGGTAGTATAGAGGTAATATGGTAATATCATCAGATAATTTCCACATGTACTTGGGCGCCCCAGGCGCCCTGTGATGAGTCACCATGAGACCATCTCTGTTGAGTAGCACAGACCGGAGTGCAACGGAGCCATCTCCTAAATTTGACCGAAGTTGGTGACTGTCTTGCGTTAAAGCCAACAGGTTGGATGCAAATGGGTCATCTTTGCGCTGGATGGGTTTCATCCGGGATTCTAAGTAGATTTGCTTTGCTTTGGCTATTTTTTTTCGGGAACATGCATGAAGATGCTGATTAACTCGTGGACGGAACGGTAAGCTATTTTGAGTCATGTTCAGACAAGCCCAGAAAGTAGTTTCTTCGCACCCAGGAGCTTGTTGCACATGGGCTTCATACATGGATTTCGCTGGCATTGCAATGTACATCTCGCATGAGAATGTAAACATGATCGGGGTTGTTTTTACCTGGTGATATTTCTTGGCCCAATTTTCCCATCAGAATCCTGCAATGGGGATGGGTACCTAGCCCTTACATGTGCCTTATATGGTAGGTGAAATGGCCATTGACCACGTTTGACCACCAGCCGCCCTGGAGCATCCAAGGATCTGGCTTTGTGAACCCTTGCGTGACACTTACCAGGCGGCTTGGGGATAGTACAGTTATGGCCCGAAATACCAGTTATAAGTACTGAACTAACCCCATTTATAGAATGTATAATCCCATTTACAACCAATTATAGCTAATAAATGGCCATGACTGTAGGGTGGCTGAAACCTTTTGGCAGTGTTTCTTTGCTTTGGTTTTGATTTTAATATAGGGTTTTTACCATGTTTTACCATATTTTACCAACAATAAATTCAGATAATATTTTGGATGTAACCATGACTATATGTAATTGGTGCGTTCATTGTTGTTTCTTTTCATACGAGTTATACGAGCCATGGTATAATTGGTAATGAAGCCTTGCCAAACATCGTGTTCCTGGTGTCCTGATGTTGTCAAGGCAGTCATGGCTTGGATAGTCACTACAGTTATGGCCCGAGTTATACCAGTTATAAGTACTGAACTAACCCCATTGATAGAATGTATAATCCCATAGAAAATCACCAGTTGTAACTAATAAATGGCCATAACTGTATTAGGACATATCAGGACTATGTCTAGTTCTTCTATGACCCCCGAAGGTCGAATTGAAATATGGTAAGCAATGATGTTGGCAACCGCCCCCTGCATTTTGATTTTGCATATGATATCATATGATCAATATGGTTCCATACCCACCTTAAGATTGGCGCTTGAGCCATTTCACCCTTGAGGTACGATGTTTTCACATCAGCATGTTGAACAGATGGGATGGTGGGGATCTTCACTTGCTGATTTCAGATGATTCAGCCAATCCTGGATTGTTCGAAAAGTTCAGTGAGTTGTACAGTTATGGCCATTTATTAGGTATAACTGGTTGTAAATGGGATTATACATTCTATAAATGGGGTTAGTTCAGTACAAACATAACTGGTATAACTCGGGCCATAACTGTAGCCACTGTAGCCGAAGTTTTCAGCTTCACCGAAGTCCGGAGTCCTGGCGTTGTAGGTGAGCTACGTGGGGCATATTCCCAACGGTCTCTTCCCCATCAGCTTTGACGCCTGGAACTTCAACAACTTCGGCAAGGTGCCCACGGAACTGGGGTGCCCACGGAACTGGGGTGCCCACGGAACTGGGGTGCCCACATGACGTGAGGAACATGGAGAGCTATATAACTATCCGAAATGTATTGAAAAGTGGTTATGAAAGAGGATACTACGAGCAGTCACTGCAACAAATCTGGCTCATATAACTATATAATACTATATATATATATATCATATAGGATACTGTATAGATGATGGAACTGGGTAGCGCATCGCTGGCAATGTCTCTGGCAATGGTTGCTTTGCACGGTTTCTCCTTCCAAGACCACCCTCCGGTGTCATCAAACATGGCCTTGAAAATGTTCCATTTACCACGTGGGAATCAAACCTCCATGTTTATCCATTTTTGATGGTTGATTCTCCATGTCCCTGTGCCACGAGGTGCTCCCAACAGCTCTGTCTTGCTGCTTGATCGGATACATGGAGTCCATTGCTCGGAGACTCAGTTGGGGATGGATCTGAGCCTTTTGGATGCAGAGTGAGACAGCGACGGTAGTCTTGTGGTACCCTCTGGTAATGACAAAACCCTCCTAATAATGGGGATTTATAGGGATTTATAGGTGATATAATGGATAATACCCTCTGGTAATGACTAACAATTTGCTATTGAAAATGGCCATTTAGTTCGTTGATTTTCCCATGAAAAATGGTGATTTTCCATAGTTATGTTAGTGTACCAGAGGGCCTTGGTTGGGTGGTACCTTGTTCCTTCATAATGCACTTGTGCTTGTGCTTCCTCGGCTCCTTTTTTCGATGGACATTTTCTGAAACGCTCCACACCCAGCCCGGTCACTTGTACCGTAGTGGTCGATCATTTTTTTAACCCCCTTTTGAGAGGGTACATCGCAGATCTTCAGGATATTGGCGGATATTATACTTGGTGGCTCATCCCACTTAGCAAGTGGGTTATAACCCCAGTTATAAGTGGATTAACCCTACTTATCCCATTTATAACTGGGGTTATAACCCACTTACTAAGTGGGATGAGCCACCAAGTATCATTTTTTTATATTTTTGTTCTGTCCATGTTTTATATTTTTGTTCTGTCGGAATCGGGGGATTGAAACCAGCCGCTTTTCCAGCGCCAGGCCATTGGTAAAAACCTGGCGGCCAAACATGGCTACGAACTTGAAGCTGGTCAGGAGCTACGGAGAGGGCGGCCGGTTGATCCTTGGAAACGATCCCTGGATGTTTTGGCCCGAGTTATACCAGTTATGTTTGTACTGAACTAACCCCATTGATGGTTCATGTCATCATCCCATAGAAATCACCAGTTATGACTAATAGCCATGGCCATGTCCCTGTGGATGTTTTCCCTCTATTTTTCATAACACGTCAATCTACTTACGGAACTTCTCGGAGGAACAGATTCTATGGATTCTCCAAGGATTTTCCATTGTCATCCAACCTCCCGTTCCTTGGATACACCGAAAAAAACTTAAAACTCCCTTTAAATGATTCCCTCAAAGAGGTATGTTGTGTATTGAGTGACTTATCTTAAGTCTTAAGTTGTTCAACATGTTCATTTCATAGTTCTTTGATGTTCTTTTTGTCATAATTACCCCATTGCTTCAGACCATAAATTTGGGGCCAACTGAACTGCCCAGCCAATTCCACCGTTGAATGCTGGGAGCTTGCGTGAAGTGCAAGGCTTCACCGTTTGTGAAGAAGGGTGGTGGTCATGATTGAGTTGTTGGGTATATAATGGTATATATATATAATGTTGGTAAAACAGTAATTAATAAACCATCCCATATTTTTGATGGTTTTTTTGAACGTGATTTGGGGGATGGTGAATATTATCATTTTAACCAAATTATATTATGATATTATGTTTATGTGGATAAAACAATGTTAATATTGTTTTATGTTGTTTTAACCACGTTTATATTTATAATAAAAAATGATCAAACCACAGAATATATATAATACTGTATATTATATCCCATTTCATGTGGTAATAAACCACCCAATTTTTCATGGTTCATATACATATATATATATCCCATAGGATCCATGTATGCCATATATGGTAACATTTACCATCAATACACCCCAGTCATGTTAGCATATATACCAGCACCATGGATCCTATGGGATATATATATATGAACATATATATCCCCATGATACCCCCATGATATTCCCATGGTATCCCACATCAAAACGCAGGAGTTGCTGGCCTTGGGCCTGTCAAACGTCATTGGCTCGCTGTGCCCTGGCCAGCCTTGGTGGAGATGGAGCTTGGGGGAGACATCGGACATCTTTCCGGGAAAGGCATGGGATTTTTTGAGGTAATAATGGGGATTTATAGGGATTTATAGGGATTTATAGGTGATATAATGGATAATACCCTCTGGTGAACTAACATAGCTATGGAAAATCACCATGCTATTCATTGGAAAATCCACGAAATAAATGGGGTATTTTCAATAGCTATGTTAAATTACCAGAGGGTATAGAATATAGAATTGAAGTTGTTTTATTTGATACACAAAGAATCCGGGATTTAAGATGTTTTACCCTCTGGTAAACTAACATAGCTATTAGAAATTACCATTTATAGTTGATTTACCCATTAAAAATGGTGATCTTCAATAGATATGTTAAATAACCAGAGGGTAACCAATAAATACTGGCAAACATGGTGATTTCACCTAGAACAATTTTGGGTCACTGGCAACCGATCTAAAGTTGGTTTTTCACTTGATCTGGTCCATTGTCAATCAACATGTTCATCAGTTCACAATGGGTTTACAACCAGCAAACATTGAGGTTACAAGTGATTAAACTATCTCAAACAGTGGATGATTTAATCCATCCGGAGTAAACACTTGATGAAACTCATCATGATGAGTGCATTATTAGTTTATCAATGCACCAATTTTCATTCCATTATTAAACTATACTTACTACAATTGAATATACATGTTATAACAAGTTGATATAAGTTGATTAGATAAACACATTGTCATTCCATTATTAACTGTATTTAACTATACTATAAATGATAAATATGGGTGATAATCTGTTGGTATATTATCACAGAATCACTCCATTCGTGGCATTAAACACGAGACGAATCTTGGTGTTCTGGGGTCCTGTGGGTCCCAGGTTTTCCTCGTACCCCGTGACGGGCAGTTTCTCCCGCTCTGTTGGGGGCTCAGCAGTGGGTCCCTGGTGTTGAAGATGGTACACTTCTGGCCCGAGTTATAGCAGTTACCCTCTTGTAAACATACAAAAAACTATGGAACATCACCATTTACAACAGGTAAATCATCTATAAATGGTCCATTTTCAATACCTACGTTAAATTACCAGAGGGCATAAGTACTGAACTAACCCCATTGATGGTTCATGTCATCATCCCATAGAAATTACCAGTTATGACTAATCACCATGGCCACAACTGAGTTGGGGGGGTGATACCATACCGAATCAATGGTCGGGATTCTATCCATGAGGGGAATCCATGTTGATCAAAGTCTCATTTTGCAAAACAATACCTCCTGATGTTTGTACATCCAATTTTGGCAGTTAAATAAGATTTCAGTGTCAGTGTCTAAAATCATTCCCAGGATTCTCCAGTGACTGTGATATTTCCCCGTTGCATCGTTATTGATACCCCCATGAACGCTACGTAAAGTTATGTTACTGAAGCCATGTGAGGTTGTGTACAAGGGGGCGTGACGACAAGTAGAATTTCTATGGAATTCTACGGGATGGGCCCCCCCAGTTATAAGTTGGTTTATAAACCATTATAACCCCCATTAACTATAGTCTATATATAGTTATATCTACCAATAAACCATAGAATTCAGCCACTTATAAGGCAACTGAACGCTATCTTGGGGCCCCCATCCTGTACGGATATGTATGATATATCCCTTGAGTTCAGAGCTGGGTTGATTTCCAGGATGAGGAAGAAAACTAAGAGATTTGCAGCACGTGTATGTCTGACATATGAGCTGATTTACGTGTATTTACTGAAAAAAACTTGCGTTCAAAAGCAATGTTTGGGCATTTTTGGGTGGATTGGAGGCTTGGAAACGGTCGAGTGAGCTGGAAAAGAATTTCAGGCTGCTGAAATAGATTAGCCGATTAGCCCAGGGCCTCCAACATGCTGAGCGTCACTTTTTAAGGTACACTGCAGATGGACAGACATTTTTTAACAAAGGAAAAGGGAAGGGAGGACAAGAAAACCCTTGAGAACTCTGTGTATTTGTGGCCTGTTTTCATGTGCTTCCTTCCTTCCTTTCTCTTTCTCCTGCGTCTTTCCGCCCGCTTTCTTGGCTTGCTTCATTGATCTTTTGCATCCTTTAACTCCTTTCTATTCCTTTCTTCTTCTCTGTTGATTTCTCGGGACCTGCAAGCCAAAGCAGATCTTTTTTTTCAGCAGACTATGCGGCGCATTTCGAAGCACAGCCCAAATGGTGAAGAAGTGACAGCAACCGATCAACAGGAAATCGTTGCTTAAAATCTCTGCAAATGTCATCCCATCAAATTCCCCCAAAAAACACCATCAAATCCCATGAAATCCCAAAAATATCATCCCGGTCATCCCCAAAAAAAAACCATCAAATCCCATCCAATCCCAAAAATATCATCCCGGTCATCCCCAAAAAAAAACCATCAAATCCCATCCAATCCCAAAAATATCATCCCGGTCATCCCCAAAAAAAAACCATCAAATCCCATCCAATCCCAAAAATATCATCCCGGTCATCCCCAAAAAAAAACCATCAAATCCCATCCAATCCCAAAAATATCATCCCGGTCATCCCCAAAAAAAAACCATCAAATCCCATCCAATCCCAAAAATATCATCCCGGTCATCCCCAAAAAAAAACCATCAAATCCCATCCAATCCCAAAAATATCATCCCGGTCATCCCCCAAAAAAACCCATCAAATCCCATCCAATCCCAAAAATATCATCCCGGTCATCCCCCAAAAAAAACCATCAAATCCCATCCAATCCCAAAAATATCATCCCGGTCATCCCCAAAAAAAAACCATCAAATCCCATCCAATCCCAAAAATATCATCCCGGTCATCCCCAAAAAAAAACCATCAAATCCCATCCAATCCCAAAAATATCATCCCGGTCATCCCCAAAAAAAAACAATCAAATCCCATCCAATCCCAAAAATATCATCCCGGTCATCCCCAAAAAAAAACCATCAAATCCCATCCAATCCCCAGTTGGTTTTCGTTGAAGTCTCAGGCCGTGAACAACGCCACGGGCGCACAGACGCAGCTGGCAGGATTGGTGACCTCCCTGGTGATGCTGCGCCTTGGAAAATCTTGGGAAAAATCACCGGGAAAACCATATGGGGAATAGGAATCCATGGGAATCCATCAGGATTTTATGAGGATTTTCATGGATGTTCATGGATGTTCATGGATTTTCCCATGGATTTCTTCCCGTTTCTTCATGTCATTTTATGGGTAAATTTCATGTTCAGACGGACACAAATTGGGTTTGTCACTGGAAACAAAGGCTTGAACGACAATTGTATCCGCAAGACATAGATGGTTAAATGATGCTTACATGATGTCCAAGGGTTAGACTTTAAAGGTTACATACAGTAGATTTGTATAACAATGGTGGCTATGTTTGTTTTTTGTTTTAATATCTAGTACTGTACACACATACACACATCAACATGTTGAACACCAGTAAATGAAACGGCAGTAAAATCATTGATATTAATCCCGGTATATCGTGCATTTTATTAGTTCATTGCTAATTGCTATTTTGGGGTACCATCGGTAGTTTCGAGGGAATATCAATGAATATCAGTTGTTCATGAAATCCAAGCATGTGATTATTTGACCCAATCTGGTTGGTGGTTTAAAACATATTTTATTTTTCCATGTATTGGGAATAATCATCCCGACTGACTAATATTTTCAGAGGGATTGAAACCACCAACCAGCAATCATTTGTCAGTTGCAATGGTTATTGATCATGAAATTGTCATGGCCATTTTGGGTACCCATCCCATCACCAGCAGTTTGTCAAGGCTCCCCTAGCAAAATCAAATATCTCGCCGTGTCCCAATGTTATTTAGGAACATATTCAAGCAATTTTAACAATATCATGTTATTTATTTAACATGATGTATCCCCCAAATTATCAGTTTTTTTTTTGTTTGTTTTATGTCGTTCATGTTCATTTCGGCAAGGAGTAGTTGCCAAGTTGCCAAGACTTTTGTGATTTATGCAACATCGTCCGAAGAGTTGTTGGGACTGGGCAATTTGAGATCCCCCGGGACGATCCTTGGCGATCATTGTAGCCGCTGTAGCCCATGGGATGCCCATGGGATGTCAAGAAAACACATCACTATTGGGATGGGATCACCATATCATCCCGATGGAATTCATTAAAAAAAATATCATTCAGTTATTCATCTTGTAAACCCCTATATTGGATGGGATATTATCCCTTATTGGGATGGGATAACCATTCAGTTAATATATATATATTATGATATGATTGCGGATGCTTCAAGCCTCATTTCAGCTCCATTTGTTATATTTGGCTCCGGATTCAGGTGCACCCTGAAGTGGTTGACGCCCGTCTTCAACTTCCTTCCGAACTTTGTACCTCGGAACGTACCCGGAGTTGGTCATAGAAGATGCGCAAGTTGCTTAAGTCAGTGGCTTGAGTTAATTGAGTCACATTGGCTTAATTCAGTGGGTTAATTCATATACATGTTAATAACCATTAATAACCTTGTTGATGGGGTAATTCAGTGGGTGTTACGAACTGCTGGAAATTTGACGGAACGAGGTTATGAACTAAGCCATGACAGGGATATCCATTTAAGGGATGGGACATGTTTTTTTAAACATGTGCCTTAGACAGAGGTTGGGTAAGTTGCCCGCAGTGGGAGATGGTCATCAATGACCTCAGAGAGTTTTTGTTTTTCGAATTTACAGGCTCATCATGACTGGTTGGTGGTTTCAAACATTTGTTATATATTTTACATAATATATGGGCATGTCATCCTTCCCATTGACGAACTCATATTTTTCAAGATGCGTATTGCACCACCAACCAGATATATAAGGAACATCTCTGTGACCTCCCGCATCACCTTGAGGATTGCTAGGCAACATCGTAGCAGTAAGTCTCGGGAAACGGTGGCTGGAACCACTGTCCCCATATAGGATGATTAGGATGACCACGGATGACAGCCATGTACCGTACCATCGACCATGGCAGCCATGAGAGATACCAACTCACCTAAAGAGGTGAAATGTGTGACTGTGACCCATGTTTGAAGCATGGATAAGGCGAAATTTATAATGTGTGTCGAGCATATGTTTCAAAATGTTTCAATTGAAATCATACTATGCATAGACTTAGAGATGTCTATGCTTGTTGTGGTACTTTTGATTGTCTTACCAAGAGTTGGAATCTGTTTCATACACACATTACTCACTCTTCTAAATTCGTCAGGTCCACTCTTGGGTAAGTCTGGATCTTTGGATTTGTTTGTTTGGTAGCATAATTAGTCATACCAAACTTGCTGAATCTGTGCACCCCGGAGCCCAGCGTTTTTTGTGGGACCCAGCTATGCCTGAGTAAGCACTTCATAGCTGGGTCCCACACTCCATATTACATATATAGTATATCATATATTATATATTATATATATATTATTATATATAGTCATCATAATAATAATATTAATAATAATAATAGTAATAAATGATATATGATGCACTATAGTCACTATATATATATATATACATCAAATTGTGAGTTGTTACTCTCCCGTAATACGCATGTCATATGGATCATGTCCATGGGGAACCCATGGTTTTTTCTCAGGTCTTGGCCGCCATTGTGATCAGCTCGGTGCGGAGTCTCAGGTGATTTTTACGTGGTCCATGATCTCCTTAGTAAACATAGAAAAAGCTATGGAAAATCACAATTTTTAATGGGTAAATCAACTATAAACGGTGATTTTCCATAGCAATGATGGTTTAAACATGTTTAAATGATCCATTTATAGATGGTTTACCTATTAAACATTGTGATTTGCCATAGCAATGTTAGTCATTACCAAAGGGTATACCCTTTGGTCAAACTCACAGTCTGCTATGGAAAATCATGGAAAATCAGCATTTTGAATAGGCAAATCATCTATTTCTATGGCCTTTGTCAATAGCTATATCAAATTGCCAGAGAGCACATGTGATTTATATGGCGATATTTTATGGGAAGAAAGCAGCAGTGGGAGATGTAGCTTTGTCGGGATTCATCCCTATGAAATCCAAAGGATTGGAGGTTTTCAGTTTTCCTTAAACAAACTCTATAAACATTGTGGTTCATGAGCACATTGGATTTGGAAAATAACATCATCTAGGAGGTTCACTAAAGATGCGACTGTAGTCAAATACAAATCCGTTATCTATATTATATATATTTCTCTCTCTCTATATATATATATATATCCTTGAATTGGTTTAAGGGACAATGTACAATGATGTACAATGTACAGTTGAAATCCCTATAGATTTGGGGTTGTGATATGTTCAACAGCCGCATGTGTCCTAATCAATCCATCCACATAATATGTATGTATAAATATATATATGGGTAAATTTGATCACGACCCCACTGTGACAGAACCCTGGAATCATGGTTTATTTTAGGGAAATCATCCCCTTTTATGGCCCAACAATTCAGGTTAGTGACAAATTATAATTTACACAGATGTATATACAATTACAAATAGATAGATTAATACATCTATAGAGTCTATACACATTATCCATCATTATCCCATATATGTTACAATGTTATATATGTCATACTGACGTTCTGATCACATGATTTCATGGTCATCCGAAATGCCCAGCGAACGGCGGCCAGGTGGCACCCTTGGTGGCCTATCAGGAGGCGGCCATGACCAAACGGCTGGTCTTCCGAGACGAGTTTTTTCGGGAAATCATTCATTTTTCTGCCGGGCAAATGAAGTATTTTATTGGGCCATGTTCAATAACAATGAATCATTTGCCCTATATATGATATATAAGTTATAATATTATATTTTTTTTGGCTGACTGCACATGGGAACGATCACTCGTTGCGGCAGCTCGCAGCAAATTCTGGTCTTTGCCTCTGCACCCTACCCTCCAGCGTAGTCAGCACCGATTTTGGTGCCCATGGCTGTGCAGGTCATGTGTCTGCAACGCTCAACAAAATCGGCTGGTAGGGTAGGTGCCTTCACCACCTCTTCGGGTGGTGGAAAATGTGAGAAAAATCCCTCTGCTAGCGCTTTACATAAAGCAGGAGGATACTCCTTCAGTTTCGCTGTTCGAAACTGGCCGTTCTCGTCGACGCCAATGGTTTGGGCTCGTGGAAGGTGGGCACATACCGCGTTGGCTCGAAGGAACTTCGGCAGGTCAGGAAGGTTCAAAGACAGCAAGCCTGTGCGCTTGGCGCTATCTGCTCCCAGTAATCCCTGCGCAAACTCATAATGGCGAAACCCTGGCAAAGTGGCAATCATTTGGACAATGGGCAGCCGCCAGATGCTCGCTGCTTGATCATCGGCGGGTTCGGCCGGATGCTCCAAAGCCCCACAGCTCTCCACGGTGGACAGGACTACCATGGCCTTGAGGCTAAAGCCAAGGAGTAGATGTCCATCCATGAGCTGTCGTTTCTCCTTGAGAGAGGCCGAATGGAAGCCCCACAGTGCTGATGCCGTGCGAAGGACTCGAGGACCTCGTCTGTGCGAGCCAGCCACATGCTTCCCTCGCGCCACAGACCATGTGCAACAGGGGGGCCCACTGAGGAACCCGATCACGAAGCCAGCACGCATCGACTCAAGCCAGAAGCTCTGTGTCTTCTGATTGCCAATGTCGCCCCATGTAGAATCTATTACGATATCAAGGGAAACTACATAAAAACCTTCTAATTTCTGCTGGCGACCCAGTGCGTCAAGGAACCACTGGAAATCCCCTGGCCTTCTTCGACCCGAGTAGGCATGAAGGACTACTCGTTCTCGAAAGACTGGTCGCGGGCAGGTTAAGGTTGGTCTCCACGGTGATGGGGCAGTGGCCAAGTCGCAGCACCATTGCTCATAAAGATCAAGGTGATGGAGATGCTCTGTGCCTGCAATCTCATACCGGATCTCAGTGAGAAATCCCCATGCCGAGGGCTCCAAAAGAAACTCCAGCGCTGATAGTGCAGTAGCCCGTGGTGTCGCAGCATCATACTCCTCTAACAAGGAAATCGCTTGATGCACATGTCGGAGGGTGAGCTGCGTTTGCGTCCAACTGATGTCATACGTCTGGATGCTTGTTCTCATCCGATGTTGCAAATCACCTGTCACAAGTACAGGAGAGTCCATGATCAGCAGAATGAGTTGCTCAAATAGGTGAACATGATGTAGGTCAATTTCACCTGGAGGCTTCTGGAGTGTTCGTGGACCTGCTGCTTGTTGAACAGGGAGTAGATCATCATGTTGCGCTTTCAGAATGGCATTATCTCTGGAGCCAAGACCTGGCATGATCGGGGTCTGCGTTGCCCTCGTGCATAGTTGTGCTCGGCATTGATCCGACCGACGAAGATGTGCCTGCAATTTATCAAATGAATGATATTCTTTAAGACATACTTCACAGCCAGTGTGGGTGATCCAATGGCGTTCTCGCGCACAAATACCATGGACTTTGAAGAGATGTGCTCCCTCACCAGCTTTTGACTTGCATCGAATGCCGCACGACATGCAACCATAGTAGCCTGTCTGATGTTCAATTGGAATATTTGGTCGTACTGGTGCAAATTGAAGCGGTCCCCAGTGCGCCAGGTGTCCAAGAATGTCATGATGAAGGCGACGTAGAAGCATGTCATCTTGTCGATGGAGCTGTGACAATTGAAGTCCACGTTGAAGCAAAGTCTTCCAGTAACTACGATGGTAGCGGAGCACATATTCCCAGGCATGGAAATGTTCCTCTGGATTGCGCAATTTGGTGGTGTGCTCAACGAGACGCCAGAGCCATTGTAGATCCTCTTTGATCTGTTGGATCCATTGTGTATCCGCTCGGATGAGGGCCCAGGGCGTGACCTCTTCACAGCGGTAGAGCAGTCCAACATAGCGCAGCCTTGATATCCGGAGAAGATCTTCTGGAGCTGGGAGTTGGGTCTGCACAAGGATTTCATCATCTTGAATGGCACTGTCTGGTGCGCACTTCAACAACCTTCTGTAAAGACGAAGGATAGCTCCATTGAAATAGGTTTTGGATCTGACATCGTCCAGAATCCAAGATTCCGTTCCATAGGATATCTTGCTGGTCACGAGGGTCATGAAAAGTTGGGTTCTTTTGTCGGCCGAAAGGGCCCGGTTCTGAAAGAGCAATTTTCGATGGAGATTGAATGCGTTGTTGCCAATGGCAATGCGTCTTCTCATCTCTTTACGAGATGTGCCGCTGTGGTGTGTCAGGCCACCTAGATGGGTGTAGTCGCCCACGACAGAAATGTAGTGGGTGCCATACTCAGTCAGGATCATCATCCTCTGGCCTTGTTGTGGACTGAAGTATTTCTGCTTGAGTGCCCTGGAACCTTGTCCTCTGAAGGATAGGAGTATCTCTGTCTTTCCTTTCTGGAGATTGGGAGTGACTCCATGATTCATGCACGTCTCCAGCAGCACACTCGCAGCCAGTCCTGCTTTATGTTCTACTCCATGGGCTGTGGTGGACGTCACTGTTATACAGAGGTCGTCCATCCAGGTTGGCCCCAAAATGGAGTGCTGATGCATGGGCCCTGCATGAAGGTCCGGGAAAAGGCCAGGTGTACTCACATCATTGATGGTCTCCAAGATGTCGAGGTCCTGCATCTTCTGCTCGACCGTAGTCAGCAAACGGGCAAACATGTACCCAAACACCACGTCCGCAAAAGGGTCGCCCGGTCGAGTGCCTACCCGAGTGTGGGTGGCATCAGTCTGGCCATGTACTCGAAAATGTGTGTTGGTATGTAGCGCTTGTAGTGCTCTCGATAGGTGTGGTGGAAGTCCAGCCATTTCCGTTGCTGCGGGCAACTGAAGGAGTTGATGTAGGTCACTGACTGCATCTATAGGGAGTCTCAATCTCTCCGCAATGGATGCCAGCAGGGTGTCCGTGATGACGCCACCAATGGCGATGGGTCGAAGGACTCGATAGAATGCTTCCTGAAGGTCCAGGAAGATCATGGCGTGAGATCTCTTCGCCTGTCGAGCCATACGTGCAGTGGATCGAAGATAGTGCACTCCCATGGTGACTGGGAAATGGCGTCGCCCTCCGACCTGTTGATGTTGGAGGAATGCCTCGTAGACATTTGCTTGATGGTCACGGACCGCTCGATGTAGCGTCTTCCCTACATGAGAGCTGATGAGCAAGGACCTGTATGAAGAACATAAATTCTGTGGTCCCTTGCGCTTCCAGGCTGCAACAAGCAGGCCTCCTTTGTGCTGGAGCGCTTCTTGGCCGTGTGTACAGAGTTTGAGCATCTGTGTGAATGTCAACCTTGCCATTTGGACGGGATGTCTGTGGCAAAGTTCTGGTGGTACATGATCATCGCCTACCGCTTTGTGAGGTCGAACCCGTCGGTATGCATGTTCAAGGTCCGTCAAGGTTGGAACATCTTCAGGACGAAGCTCCAAGTCCTTCTGCATGAAGGTGCTCAGATCTTGAATCCAATCCTGACGCAATTCGGATGCACTAACTCTGTGGCCTCCTTCCATCGTGCCAAAGAATTCAGCCCAACAATCGGTGAGCTCCGTTGGGGTTGTACATGGTTGTCCTTGTTCATTCAAAATCCATGGCAGTGGTGAGGTCCGACGTAATTTCGGATTCGTCGGTCCAATCACTGGCTTGAGGGTGTTGAGTATGGTGGAAGCTGCACAATCCGGAGGAAGGGCCGTGATGATCTCTTTGACATGCACACGCTTGGCAGCAGTCAATTCGCCTCGAAGCTGTCTGGAGACGAGGTAGAGCTCGATGCGTGTTTTCAAGCCGTGAGCTGCCAAAGAATTTTCAAATTGTACAGATTGTTCTTGGCGGTCACTGTCGATTCGACCTGCCCATCTTTGGAAAAGTCGAGTCATGAACTCCTTTTGCTGACGTTTCTTGTTGTCTTTGGCAGTGCGTTGGAGCCGTAGCTTTTGGGCTCGAAGCTGCCAAGTCCGCTCAGAGATGTAGGATTTCTTTGGTCCTTGCCTTTTGGTTGGGCATTGTTGATGCAGGACTTCAAGCACATGCTGGTTGAAGTGGTCCACCTGGTTCTCAATGTCAGCCTGCCATGGTAGCGGAGCATAATCATCAAGGCCTTTTGCCAAATCCGCCGTCAGGATACCTGTTCGGTCATAGGATTTGATCTTCTGGTTCTTTTTCATCTTGTGGCCAGCTTCTTGCCATGATAGTTCAATGGCCATGGCACGATGATCTCCCAGGTGACCCAGGGACTGCAGGATTGTGTGCAGTCTGTCACCCAGTGAATCGGGACTAAGACATAGTCTATCCGATATTCCGCATCTTCTGATGGGTGCATCCATGTGGTTTGATGTCCCTCATGTAGAGTGAGAGTGGAAGGAGTACATAGTTGATGTTCCTCCAAAAACTCCCTGAAAAGAGCTGTGTTGGTATTGGCCACGTCGTCATTCCCAAAAACATGGACATGATCAGCAGGTCCACTGCGAGCATTGGCGTCAATCATGACGACCAGCGGGTCGTGTTGGGCATGCCTTTGAATGGTTTCTGAAAGCATGTGCCACCATGTTTCACGTTCACCACTGGGAGATCCACTGTGCAGTGCATGTGCACATAGGATCCAAAAGCTCATGTCTTCATTGACTACATGGACCAAAAGATGTCGAGGCGCCCTGTCAACAACGACAAAATCAGACCGCTGAAAGTGTTTGGGATGGCGACCTTGATAGGCATACGGTTGCATCAGATTGATCCATATCTCCACACCAAAATGCCCTCCTTCATGTCCACTCGCCAAACGGTAGATCTTGTCTTGAAGGGAGGTACCTGGATCTGTGCGAGCTTCTTGTATTCCAATGAAATGAAGACCAGATGCACGGAATTGTTCTCGGACATATTGAAGCTTTCCAGGGTGACCTTGTTCCCCTCTGTAAAATGTTCTGACGTTCGCAGTCCCGCAACTGATGGTGTAGCGGGTGAGAACTTGGGCAGCAGGTACCTCTGGTGCCTGTGCTGTGGTTCTGATGGGGAGTGCACAAGGTGGGACACTGAAGCCATCCTCATGTAGGAGTGGTAGGTCAGGCGTGCAGGCTACAGCCATCCACAGGTGTCGTAGGATGGAGGTGAAGCTTTGCATGTTCACCTGTTGTCGTGGGAGCAGTTGGCTTTGATGTGGTTCACGTTTTGCTATCCAGTCAACTAGCTCGTTGTAAGGATCGCCTGTGTGGCTTCGGACATGGGCTATCATCAAGCCTTCGCGGCCGAGTCCGGCTTCGAGCGCCTGGAATACAGCTCGCAGATTGTAATATGGTTGATCCCTGATGGAAGAACCACATCGTCCTGCAGCTTGATCTCCAATCAGTCTTGAATCGCTCACAAAGGCCGTCGGAATATTGTTGTTGCGGCTGAGTCGCCACATGCCCGCCCAGAAAAGGGCTTCCGTTTCGGCTGAGTCCGATCCAATTCTCGTGGTTCCGATTGAATGTGCAGCATCAAGGTCATACAGGACTTGCTGGCATGTCCAGCCCAAAAATTCCAAATTAGGGTCTGCCGTGTCGTCCTCAGCGTACTGCTCAGCAAAGACCGCAAAGGCCCAGGAATCGCTCACATCATTGTCTGCAACCCAAAGTGGTGGACGATGTCGATGCACGGCTTGAGACGATCCGTCAGTAAAAATGACATATCGATCAATTCGCTGGACAGGCTGACATCGATCCAGAGCCACTCTGATGAACTCGGGAAGGTCAAAAAGAGAGTGGTCTTTCCACAAGATGTCATTGGATGCCTCCATGAATGCCCGGAGTTCCTGGGTGTCAAATTGGATGTGGCAGGTTGAACGGCCAGACTGATCAACTACTTCGGTATGGATCAGAGTGGTTGATGTCAACTGTTGCATTTGGCGTGCCGGCCATGGAGTGCGTAGGCGTAAGTCACGCAAGAGTTCTGCCTGGTCTGGTTGGACATCAAGAAAGTGGATGCACTGCAGCTTCTCCATCCAAGGTTCAGTCTGCATGATCACAGCTTTGTGGTAGCCTCTGGAATGCAAATATCGCATATGTTGTTGTTCCTGAAGTTCTTTGTCAGTGATGTTCACAAAGACAGGCTCACTCAAGTTGCAATCGGCCGCACAGTACACATAGGTGTGATCGCACAAGGCTTCTTGTTGTGAAAGAGCAAAAACCGTGTCATGTTCACCGCAAAGGAAAATTTGGTACTGGAAGCCCCAGTTACGTAGTTCCTGCTCAACATCTGCAGCTGAATAGATGGAGTTGAGTTCCAGGTATGTCGGCGGCATGATGGTTGTGGTATTCCAGTGGGAGTAAACCACTTGAACAATTGTTCGTTGTTGAGGATCCGTCCAGTCTTGGGGTCGGCGTTCGCCAACCTGTGGAAAGATCTCTAGTCTGTCCTGCGGCCGCTGATCATGAGCCACCGTATCAGCTGTTTGGCGCTCGCAAGAGACAGACTCTGTGTCAAGATCTTCAATTTTCACTTTTGTGTGAATTTGATGACCACGTTGTAGTAATGAGCGTCCGACCCTGAACTGTGGCTGAACTGGCCCCGGGCTGAGATGTATGATGATACCATGTCCATCTCGAAGAGGAAATGGTCTGTCCATCTGAATCTGAACCAAATCGTACCACGCCCTGCAAATCATTGTAGCTCCAGGAAAAACACATCTTGCTCCTAAACCAATGAATACAAGAAGTTGATCCAAACGAAAATGCTCATGGGTAGTGGCAACCATTTGCATAAACGGTCCAGGTTGTGGAAGTGACCCATCAAATCCAGTGAAAAGGGCCGATGACAGACTGTCCTGCGGGTTTTGAACCAGGATCACATGGGCTGCCACATTGTGCTGCATGTTTGGCGGTGGTGGTGCAACAACATGAAGAAGAATGGGAGCACCATTGATTGCTCTGTCGGGCCATGCACTGCGGAGTTGCGCCGTCCATTGACGAAAGTCTGCAAAAAGTCGTACTGGTCGAGGTTGCAAGCAAGTGCGTAGGCCTGGATGATATTGATCGACTAGCCATGTCATGACAATTGTAGAAGCTTCCTCTCCCTGCCATGAGAATGCAGTTCGGCTCCAAAGTTGGTGCAGCTCTTGTACATTCTCAGGTACAGACGCTAAATTTGGAGTCGCTGGATCAAATGGCATCGCATGAGGATTGAAGGCAAAGTTGTGACATCCACCGCCTGGCTGTTGTGCGCTCGAGCCATGCTGGTCGGTGCCTCGACGCCTCCATCTCATGGTTGTTCTTTGCATTAAATCCAAAACTTCATGAGAATCTGCATGTGAAGAGAAGGAGAATTGCTCTCGATGGATGGTCAGGCTGCTAGCGCGAGGAAATTCATCCCAATCAAAAAGGCCAAATGGGATGTCCCCCAGTCTGACTCTGCAACGTCCATCCCGACATACTTCTTGAAGACCAGCTTGTCGTAAAACGTAAGCTTGATTCATGATATCAGGAAAAGAGTATGCACTGTGATGAAAGGGTCCTCTGTGAGTCTCAGACATCATTGTCGAAACCATCCCAACCGTGTGCTCCACACGTGTGGATTGCTCCAAAATCAAATGTGCCATGATGCACTCCATGTTGGTGCGGGGAGGCTGAGGTTTCACCAAATGAATTGTGACTTCCAAATCAGGAACAAGGGTAGTGGCCCAAGGTTCAATAATGTCCTCAATCCAGCTTGGGGAGTCATGTCTGATACGCACAGATCGTGGTTCTGTGCATCTCCTGTACCACGTTTCGATGTAGGCAATGGGGCCTTCGTCTTCACATTCGATGATGGAGGTGGTTGCAAACAAATGAGCAAAGAGTCTGCGATCATCGAAGTGGAGCTGGGCGTTGAAGGCTCTCTGCGGTGGCGGAGGTACTCCCTGAGGATATGCTCCAATGGGTGGTCCTGATCTCTCATGTTGCGGAGCAATTCGCCAGTTGGATATAACATGTTCTGCTGCAGGTTGAGGTTGTGCTGATTGTAGGGCAACACAAGTGTCAGAACATGCTTTTTGCAAAGCAATTGCTGCTCGTTGGAAAAGGGCCGTCTCTTCTTCATCATCGTTGAGCGGGCTGCTTTCAAATTGTTCTTCCGGGGACTCAATGTCAATGTCAGAAAGGCATATGTCGAGATTGTCATTGTCTCCGACATAGACTTTGATGTAGTCACCGTCAGAAATATGCAGTCTTGTTCTCGGATCCGTGTCTAGAATGACATTATTGCGCCAGATGCGGCATGGGCTTTCCTGTGTGGAGCACAATGATTCCAGTCCAAGTGCCTGCACCAGTGCTTCCCTGTCGGCTACATACGGGAGCCATTTGGGGTAGCGCTGAAAGGGCGACGATTGAATCTCATTGGCAACATGCAGTTCCCTGTCCACAAGGGTCAAACGGACATATGGATTAGGTCGAAATTCATGTGCCCGTTGGAGAATCATGCCGTACAAATTCACCTGGATGTAGTCCAGAGGTCTGTGCACTGCTTGAACACGTAGGATGTCTCTTCTGTTCAACTCAAGTGCAATTGCAACTTGTTCATACAAAAGGTCCATATCATGCCAAGGCAATTGAGCAGACGTCGACATTCCATCCAGGGTGAAGATGACTGTCTGTCTCCAGTCTGTGGAGGATTCCGTTGAAGAAATGGTTTCAGGCGATGTTGAAGATGATACTTCGACAATGCTTTGTAACCTTCTTGGTCTTCTGCCCATGAAGGAAACTTCATCTTCCGGATGTGCAGAGGATGGATCAGCAGGTGGGTGCGTATTCTCAGGCGGAATATCCTGAGGATCTGCAGGATCCCATGGATCTCCTCTTCTTCCTCGTCGCTGTTGTTGAATTCTTCTGAGCAGATTTTGTTCGGCTTCAAAGCCCGTGAGCGTGGTGGGAATACGTATATGCATGCCCAGACCATGAGAGGCCGCAACAAATTGATGGTCAAGATGTCGATGATGTCCAATATGCAGCGTGCAGCGACCCGCTCCTTGACGTTGACGTTGCTGACAAACTTGATCAACTCTCGCAAGTTGAAAGATTCGTGCTGGGGACATCTGTAGCTCCATGGAATGTGCAGTATGCTGAAAGGTAGTGGTCGGATCCATGATGTGGACCGCGGTCACAAGACATGCTGCCCTGTCCGGTCGCAAATTTTGATGCACAATGACCGTGGCCATAGTTCCTCGATGTGGATGCTGGGGAGGCTCTGGCCGCACGATGACAACTTCGATGGGCACGTTTGGGTCTACCATGTCTTCCCAGATAAACCGTATAGAGTTTTCCCATTCGTTGTAGTCATTGTCAAAGCGCAAAATGCGGGACTCATCATGGAACAAGACTCTCTCATGATCAATGTAGAAAGAGCTGACGAACACAACCAAGCCTTCATCATCATCTTCTTCTTGTCCCTCTTGTTCAAGGAGTGCAAGAAGATCATGTCCCCATCTTGGAATTGGATTGGAGACACGCAGAGATCTCGTCATGTCTCTGTCAGTGGGATGTGAGGGATCAGGGCTGCGAATCGTGTTCGATGTTGATGTTGGATCATGTCGTGGTGTTTGCAAAACCGGAGGATCTCGATGTGAAGCTGTCCAATTCCACTTCGTAGTTTCCTCATCTTGAAAAAGGTTGTCCCAAGAGTCTGGGAGTTCCTCGCTCGAAAAGGGCTGGTATGTGCCTCCTCTGAGCAAACCTTGTCGCCAGGGCATAGAACCTGTGCCTAGGCAAATGTCAGAGACCACAGTCCTGTACATGGTCAGCTCATCCTCCATGCCAATCAGAACGTCAACATCAGGAGCAAAACCCAATCTCCTGTGTGATGATATGGCTTTGGCGGAAACATTACTCAGCCTCATGTCAAGTGGGAAGATTCCATTGTAGGTGCCAAGGTCAAATGCTAGGGAACGTGCATTTTCGATGGCAGCCCATTCGTTGATAAAGTTTTCCTCATTCACAATGCTGTGCGACCATTTGAGCACATTGACATCATGCATAAAGGTGATGTCCTGCCATGAAGGCTCCCGACTGGCATACCCAAGGGTCATGCTCAGCCAGCCTGGCCAAAATGCGAGCCAGTGCCAAGACCTGCATTCATGGGCTGGTCTTCGTCTTTTGGTGGCATCATCTTTTGCCTTTTGGCAGCATGTGCTTCTTCTGCGACCATGGCCTCTGCCTCCTGATGGAGGGATTGCAAGGATTTGGCAAGTCCTTGCATTGTCTCCGTGATCTTGGTCGCCGCATGGCTCGAGGTGTTGGCATCTTGGTCCTCTGCCTCCTCGTCCGATGCGATGTGTTGTACATCTCCAGCTCCTAGTTTGGCAACCTTGGATTTCTCCAAGTCCTGCTTGGCAGCAATGAGGGATTCTTTGTGAAGACTCACTTGTTCTTGGAGTTTCCGTTCTTGATCCACAAATTGAGCCGCATAGGTTTGCCATAATTGAACTGCATCGGAGAGGAATTTCTTCCACATCGCATGATGTTGACTCCTGGCAAGCACAGCCTCGTCGTAGTTGTTGCGGGCAGTGTCCAGGGCCGTCACTGCAGCATGGAGGTCCGTGGAGGCCTGTTGTCCATACTTTGTCAAGACCTTTTGCACCTTCTTCTGCATGTCTTCTGGCAGTTCTGCTTGTCTGCCTCTCATCATAGACATAAGTCCCCTCACCTCCTCGTCGGTCTCTGCCATTGATGGCGTTGCTCCCGCCGGCATCTTCGGCATGGCTGGTGCTGGCATCGTTGGCATAGTCGATGGCGATGGCATACCCAAAGATGTAGGCACAGGCGCTGGCATTTTGGCCATGTTCTGTGCTGCGGTCGATGGTTGCCAAGGAACATCCGGTGGCGGCAAGGGAGGTAGGGCTCCTTGCATTGGAAACATCATTGGCTGCTGAGAATACATCATGGGCATCTGTGGAACTGGACCCATGTATGGATTTGGCATGGCCGGCATCATCATGGGCGGTGTCGGCTGTGTCATTGCCTGCTGTGCATTCTTCGGTGTTTTGTTGCCCTTGGCACTGCGTGGTCTCTGTCTCTGTCGCGGTGAAGGTGTTCTGCCGCGAGCAGATGTAGAGTTCCAATGGGCTTGCCAATCTTGTTGTCCTTGCCATGGGGTCTGGTATTGATGAGTCTGTTCCTGTTGCTGCGGCTGCTTTTGACCGTGCACAAAGGAATGATCGATCACGTTTTGCCACGGCTGGTGACATGTGTTGCAATACATCGCACTGTGTTTGCGAAGTTGTTTGCATACACTGCATTTCCACGGAGGTCGATTCGAAGTCGCCATCGTAGCAACGATGGTGCGTAGGAAATTGAAGTCTCTTGAGTGATGCCCCTGGAGAACAACAAAGATCCTGCTCAGTTGCTTTTGCGAAAGCTGAATCACTCCCTGTCTGTGCAAATGCCACCTCCTCCGAGCAGATGCTCGTTGCCTGCGAGAGGCTCGGCGTCTGGTTGCCAATGTCGTGCTGGATGAATACTTCCTCGACACCAACAAGGCAGGCGTATAGAAAACCGATAATGTAGATCGATGACACAAAATTGAAGAGAGTCAATGCTCCCATGAAAAAGCCCGAGAACCCCGAGATACACAAAGAAATAGAGGACCCAGTACAAAATGCCAGAGAAGCCCGATCGTCAGGTTATACACAAAGAGATGTGCAAGCCCGAGAATCAGGTCAATGTCAAAAATGATGGGGTAAAAGTCCAATCGCAGATTCCAGGGCAAAACCAGTTGAGAAACTGCAAATAGGAGATACCGCCACCACCCGGGAGTTTTGTGGCTCCGGGACGCCAGACACAGGTGCAACCAAATGCGAGAGGACAATGCTCAGAAGAAGGTCAATGAGAAAGTCCAAGTCGAAAAGGTAGTCCCAGAAGGCCAGGATGAGAACGCTGGCCCGCGGCACGCTATTGCTGAGCCGCTCAGGTCACCAAGGGTACGAGCTACGGGGGGCTGGCTCGACCCGAAACCTTATATATACATATATATATATATATATATGTTTATCATATTCTTAAGTATTCTATCTCCAAGATATCCCCATGTTGTCCCATGGTATCCCTCAGGAGCTGGAAGGCATCGTCTCAGAATGGATCCTGGAAGAGGGACGAAGTCAAGGAGCAGCCAGTTTGGGGACGGTGCTTTTTGCTCGATACCCTCTGGTAAACTAACATAGCTATGGAAAACCACCATTTTTGATAGGTAATTCAACTATAAATGGCCATTTCCAATAGCTATGTTAAATTACCAGAGGGTAACATAACTATGGAAAAACACATTGTTTCCCCACATCTTTGTGTGGGGTTTTTGTTTTTGGTTGCAACGTTGTGACACACAATTCTTTCACCATCTTTCCGGCCCATGCCATTTCTCTTTCCTGCCTTTCCCATCTCATTTTCACATTTGCTTGGTGATTATTGGAAGAAGTTGACA